AAACAATTTTCCATTGAGTATTCTATTCTTTTGAGCATTCTTGTTAAATTGGAGAAAAAACTGCATTTCATTAAAACATTTGATACTTGTTTTAGAACCGGGGTTGTTCTCGTTTTTTGTTGAGAAAGAGGAACATCTCAGATAACTTTGATGAAATTCCGTTTCTTGGGGCTACTTATTTCCATTAAAAATATCAAAATTACTTCTTTGATGAAGACTGCTCGTAATAGGTCAGATTCTGAACGCTCAGATTGCACTTATCGGCATTTTTTTAAAGGAAGATCAAAGTATATGGAGAAGTGTTTACATTTAGAAAATTGGTGATATTTAGAAAAAATGAAAGAAACGATACAAAAAAAATTTTAAGGTTTTCTTCAAAATATCCCCCTGCACGCTTTTTAAGATACAAAGTGATAAATTTTGCTTATAAGGGAGTTTTAAAAAGACTAAAATGCTCGGGTCAATTCATTAAGGAACATTTTCTAAGACGGACTACATATCTGTTTGCTCATTAATAGCGCAAAATATATCGCATGTTAACTGTACCAAATTGGCCAAATTGGCCACCTTTGAAATACTCTTACTTCACAAAAACTGATTTTAGGTAGAATACATATTTTTTATTTACCTCAACATAACAATACTTTTTGAATGATGAAAAAAAATCCTTCAAAAGTTGCTAGTTCAGATGTCTGGAGAAAAAACCACCTCGAGCACAAATACTTCGTCATTTTTTGAAAACAATCGAAACAACAGGCAACAGCTGTACACTGCATTGAGCACCTCGGAAAATATGAGACATTCAGCTTCGGGATTTGAACAAAATTCAAATTGCTATAGTAGGTGTTGCATATCTGGCATAAAAAATATGCGAAAAATTCAAAAAAAAACACATGGAAAAGTATTTTGACTGTGCAACTTTTAGCATTTAAATTGTTTGGTATGACTATTTCTAGAAAAAATATTGCACTTATGAGTCAAATAATGCACTTATGTATCAAATACTGCCCTAGTGTTTCAATTATTGAATTAGTTTTTCAAATAAGTCAGCATGCTGCAGTAAAGTTTTAGATTTTTCTGATATTAAATCAATACCTTTTAGATGCTCCAGAAATCTCTCATTTGTTTTAGATGCTGTCAAAGTCTCAATTCTTAGATGCCTAAATAATCTAAATAACCAAATCAAGCACAGATATTCCATCACATTTTTCACAATTCAAAGCAACTGGTTTGACCGCCCGGGTCGATGTTGTGGTTTTACGATCATCTCGACCGAGATGCTTTATTTCCAGACTCAATCCGAGACTAATTTTTTGACAATCGCGATCGAGATACGGTTATTGAAAAAAAATTTGCGACTTATAACCCTGTCCAGACTGGATTTTCGGTCACGGAATTAACATCGGCTCGACCGACAAAATCGAAAAGTACGTCGCGGACCTCGACCCGGTCGTTGTCCAGCTGTTTTGTCATAACTTTCGATGTCTTTGTATACAAAATTTCACTGAGCAGACTTCAATTGCTATTTTCTATCTTACAGTGTTTAGTTCTCGGCACAAGAATTGAAAATTTAGATCTATGGTTTTCCAGTTAATTTTGAATACTTAAGTATTGAAACCATTTTTTCGGTAACCATTTTTTGTAAGGTTATTTGGGTTTTTGCAAATTAATGGGATAAAGCTAGTAGTTTTATCTTCTTTTTTGGCGCCAATTTAAAACTTTTCTAGTAGAGCGAGCAGATTTTCAAATAAAAGTTAAATTTTGTCTACATTAGTTTTAGGTCGATCAAATCGCTTATCCAATCTCTCCCAAAAGCTATAGAAACCTTGATCGCAAGAAAATTAAGAAAATTGCGCTATAGGCAACTTTTCGTAAATGAACGCATCAACAGGTCTTGGACGGTTGTCGCCAAAAATAGCGTTGATGTATATTTTTTCTGCTAGCTTCAATTTTCAATCTGGTGAATACTGAACAAACTTTAAAGCAGTTAGCATTTTTTCATTCAGGGGCGACTAACTTGTTTACACAAAATTAGGTTAGAGGTTTTAAAAGGCAATAAAAACATTTAATAAACGAGGTCAAAAGATACTTTTGAAGAAAAGTCACATAAGTTATCAAAGTTAATCCATCAAGAGAACACAATAATTTTGACCCATATACTTAGCAAACGATCTCAAGCTAAATTTCATTATACGTTTAATGACATTTAAGCAACCATTTTTAGAGATCCTATCAAGTTAATGGCAGTTCAGAGCAAAAAGCAAGTGTTTCGAATAATCTGTTCAGTTTTGTAGTTTATTTTATTGTTTTCATGATATTGCTCAACTTTTGAAAATAAAACTATCAAAAAACGGTTTTTCTCTCATGTTTTTCTAGGCAGATGTGGGCAAAAACAGATCACCGTGTAAAAACAGAACTGTATACTTAAGTATACTTGGATATTCGTACCACGTGTTCAACTTTCATAAACTGGAAATACCGAATATATGTGCGCTTAATGCGAAACTATGATACGTTGGTCAAAAATGTAGGTCTTTTGCAAAAAATAACAGAGCCGAACCCGCTAATTTTAATCCACTCAAGTCCACTTAAGAGTCCTACGTATCACTGTATGCTTACTCATCTTTCGGTTGAAGGATGCTTATGAATTGTTTAGGTTTTGTGAAGATACTTAAATTTCACACCTCGATCAATTTGTTTTCACACCTAGTGTGTACCATTTTCATTGACAGATTTTTACTCCATTTCCTGCCACGAGCAGTCTGAAATTTCGAGGCGGCAAAAACACTTGGGTTCAAAAAGGAGGTCAACATCTTGTAAGCCGTGTAGGATTTGAAGTTTTGCTACTTTCCGATTTATGGCTGCTAGAAAAAGCACCCTGTGCCGCTACAGGGCTATATATTGCGATCAGTAAAAGCGGTGACGGCTGGCCACATTAACATAAAAGAATTTATTTAGGGTCTTCGCGTTTCGGTGATAATCGTCAGAAATGTTTTTCAGCTGCTGGGAATGATTTTGTTTTGATTGGCGACGAAGACGAAGCGAAAACAAAGACCGGTGGCAGGACGGAAACTGAAACATTACTGGACCAACGGATCTGCCGGAAACATTTGTTTACGATTAGAAAAACAAAGCAAACCCAGCACCACTATAACCATAAACCAACACTTTAATCAGTTATTTTTAATTTTAGCTTACCATTCTAATAAAACTTCATCAACTTGAACTACTTTCCAGAATTTAACGCCTTCTGGAAATATTGGAACAATTTTTGAAAATTTTCGTTATCTTTAGTAAGTGGGCTAGATTGTTTCCCACAAATAAAACGAGTAAAAGTGTCGCTTTTGGGAAAAGTTCCTTGTAAAATTCTCATTTTGGGTCGTTTTTCGACATAAATTTGGATATCATAATTTACTGTTTCGAAAGTTTTCTAGCTTTTCGCTAGAACTATCGCAAAAAAACTGGTTTATGAAAATAAGTTGTTACATTTTAACTTACAAGCTACAATAAATTAAAGCAACTTTTAACTGTTATTTAATCGCTGACACAGTTTGGTATATATTTCATTAAGAACCGCGAAATAATTTGGATCTCGTTTAAAGAAGTTTAAAAAAACCAGAACACTTATTGAAGAAACCTTTCAGTTAAATTTTTATGATTCGATTTGAAATGCGGCCGACTAATTTCTTCCAAGAATTTGATCACTCATTCTGCGACCCACAAAAGTACCAAATGTATCCTAGTAAGTATGGCATGACGCCTAATTATTACAATATACTGTTTTAACTTAATTATTTAAAAATATGTCATATTTGCTTCTTTTGTCGACAACTTTTATCGGAAAACAATTTAGTGAGTCCAGAGCCAGGGCTTCAAAAAATTGCTCCATTTTTTCTTATACATTATTTTAATTCTAATTTTGTGTATGTATGAGAATAATATGGCCGAAAAATGTTTAATTAAATTTAACGCCTAAAACAGATTAAATGAAATTCTACAACCACGGTAAAAAAAAACGCATTCAAAACAATTTCCAGCTGACGAGATCATTTAGATGATTTTTACTTTCAGGTAATTTTGCTATAAGCATTGTAGTAACATGCAGTGGATTAGATAGGAATTAAATAGTCGGTGAGAGAAAAAATCTGGAGCATCAGACAAAAAGTAATTGACTGGTTATTTGTCATTGAGAGTAAAAAAGTTGTTCCGATCTGTTTTTTTTTATTGTTTACAGGGATTATAACTTGTAATAAGCTAGGGAATGGAAGTTAGTAAGAAGTAAGAGGGAATACAATTAGAAAGTTAAGCCAAATGACCCTTTTTTGGGATGGAAACGAGGAACAATCTATCGTTCAGATCATCCAACTAACCCGGTCACTTCTTCTACAATTCTCTTCTTAAAGTTCCCTTCTACGGCAATTAAGTATCAAACGATATGCTAATTAAGGCCTCCCCCCTTACCCGAACAGCCCCCCACCCCGCCCGAACTTCTTTCCCACTATCTTGTCTAGCAGACCCATTTTCAACCCTCAGTCAGTTTTGAAAAGTTCCCAATGAAAGCTTCCCTGCAATCGGCCCAATAAGGAGTTGCAAGCCAAAAAAAAACTTCATTTTTGCTCTAATTTTCTCTCATTTTTGAAATTTTGTCCGAATTTCACAACTTGTAAACTTTGTTTTATCTTCAGTAAATCGAGTCAACAGACGAATATCGTAGATCGCAACAGAAGGTGGTTGTTGACAGCCGGATAACTGTACCACGACATAAAAATATACTTTTGAAAATAAGACTTACTTTCATTGCATTTAACAGTTTCAACAACTTTGACAAATCCTGAATTTGAAATAACATCTTGAAATTAAGAAGACGAAAGCGTGTATTCTATGTGAGACAGTTTTGTTTCACATTAATTGTTCTGAAATTTTGGGCCACTGATTCGAATTACCCATTAAAAACTGGATCCCTTTTAGTTGTCGTGCGCGAAATAAAAACGGGAGCAACAATGCAGACTAATAATTGCAACAACAATAATAACAGCAGCGGCGGTTCAAACAATAACACAAATATACTTACCAACAATAGTACCAATAATAATAACACCAATTCAAGCTATTCAGTTTCCTCTTTATTTCGAAAATACAAGTCGACCCGAGCAGCCGCTAGTGTTACCGCGTCGCTCCCCCTAACTTTGCCGGGAATTGAAACCACCGCATCCCAACTTTCTCTGACTTCTTTACCCCCCTCGTCACTAAACTCAGACCCCATTTTTCTGCCCCATGGATCACTTCACAACTCATATAACCACTCTGGTGCTGATCTTCTGTCGGAGCCGACAAATTTGGCGGGACTTTCTGGTACCCTGAACAATAATATTAGCCATCTAAACCACCAAATTAACCCTTCAGGGGGCTTAGTTCATACCGGTGATGGTCACGTGGACATTTTAGCCCCCTCCTCGACTCTTGTCACTGCCTCTTCTCTTGTGGCTGGGGGCGGGGGAGGGGGAAGTTTGGGGGACTGCGGGTCCTCCGTTTGTTCCTCGGCATCTTTGGCGTCTGCCGCTGCTTATGCTTATCGCAACACTCCTTATTACTATTTCTATCCAGGTAGGAAACATAGTTTTTCGTATTTCAAAATTTGTTTTCTTAATCCATAGTTACGATTACAACTTTTTCAATTCCCAGTTTACATATTTTTTTTTATTGCAACTGTTCATCATAATTAAATCGTTTCTGAAAATAAAAGCCACAGTCCAAAATTATTTAAGAAAATAATGATAAGTTGCAGCCAATAAAGTCTGCAATTAACGATAAGTGACAACCCGCAGGTAGCGTATAACCAAGGTATATGATATCTTCCATCACTAGCCTTGGGAAAACTTCTATCGAATACTGTTTTTTTTCATCATCGAAGTTCATATGGACAAAAAGATAGCGTTTCATACTCTCCCTACTTTTTTGAAAATCAGTGCGATGACTCATTATTGCTTAAATTTTAGTTTTTTAAAAAAAATAACTGAACATTTTGATAACTTGTTTTTCAAATAGTTACAATCAGGAGCGGATCTAGGATTTTCTCGAGGGGGGGGGGCGGATTTACCAAAAATGATTTACCAGAATTGATTTTCCGAGCTCTCCCATGGCACAAGGAGTGTGTAAGCTCTGACTTAAGATTTATTTTAAAAGTTAACTAAAAATATGTTCATTGTGATGAAGTTCAATATTGAATTTCTTTTACGCATTGGTGATTTCGTACAAGATTTACGTATATGGTGATTTTAATTGAAAACAACCAGAATTTATCTAAGTCACAAAAGCTGTAACTGACATCTCTCGTAGCCCCGTAAGTTTTTGAGCTCATAATGTTTTGGTTTTGATTACATGGCTTGATTGAGACATTCGTTTTGCATTAGTTTTTTCTTCACGAGGAATCTGAATGTCAGATGTTGGTCCAATTCGTTGTGAAACTTCTAAACTGTGATCAGATTTGATCAAAAGAAAAAAAATTGTTAAGAACTATGGTAGTTAGAATTTTTTAACCTACATTAGGAAAACATACTGTTGACTGTTGCTCTGACTGCAGTTCGACTGGCAAAAATTTTGATCGCTATCTGAAACACACATTGTTTTTTCTTTGAAAAAAAAACAAGATGTTTTCATTAGAAAAAAAAGTGTTCAAAAATTTCAAAACTTTTTCTGAATGTTTCGATTATTTGTTGAATTTATCTTTCATCAATAGCCAAACTAAAATTTAAAGCCTGTTTTTTAACAATTTTAATTTTTTTTAACTAGTGCTGGGACTGATATGATTTTGATACCACATAACACACTTGACACCATGCATATTTTCCTTCGGGTACCTAAAACTGGGCGAAATAAAAAAAAACACTTTTCGCCATAGTTCTTTTGAATTTCCTTCAGTCGCAAGAAAAATGATGAAACGTTTTAAGTTGGTTTTTGTACCGACTTTCCAAAAAAGTGATGACAAAACCTTTGCGCTCGGTGCGATTTTTTTCTCTAGACAAATTAATTATTTTAAAACTATCTGAAAGGTATTGATGACTTGAGCTGAAAATTAAAAAATATTTCACCTGTGATCGTTTTTGTGAAGTTATTTGTTTGAAAAATGCCAATTTGGTCAAACTGGGGCAATTAATGCGCAATTAATTTGTTCTATAAAGCATAGGCAGCGAAGTAGAACTGAGGCAGGCAATTTGTCTTGATAGTTACGTTTTTGTAAGCGAAGCTATCATTTTGTTCTTTATGGGCTTGTGACAAGATGACTTTCAAAAACCTGAAACAGTTAGTTACAATTTTGTTAAAATTTTTTCAGTTTTTTGCAAATTGCTTTATGCACAATATAGGGCAGTCGGAATATTCAGAGCTTCACCCTAATACGAGTAGTTTTGTTGCAGTTCGCTGTTCAAAGGGTTCTTTAAATATATTTTTATGGGTATCGATTTAAACAACTTGACCCTCAGCAAATATTTATCTTCTAAAAGTTAGTCACCTAACCGTTGTATACTGATGTATCCCCATATTCATCTTTTTATGCCTTTCAAGAGTGTTTTATATGATCATTTTGATTATGTTTTCAGCTACAATTACTTCTAGTTAAGTCTCTTTGCTTTTTTGAGATGCATTAGAGTTCATCTTTGTAATTTCGAGGCCCCATAAAACTTCCGATTGATATGTAAAATGGACTACGAGGTGCACCACTTGGAACAATTCAAATTTTACAAGAATTTGCATTATTTCGCCATTTATAAAGATAAATTAAATAAAGGAAATAATGAATAACATCAAAACTCAAAGCCTTTAAAATTAAAAAACTCATTAAATCAACTTGTTTTCAAACAAGCCAAAAATTATGATAACTCACACAAGTCATCACTTAATCCCATCGTGAAGTAACATTTAGCTGGAATATTTTCAAAAATAACTTTCGGTGAAGTAGAATGAGCAAGAAAAAAAATACGTACAATTTTAATACAAATAACGCCATGTTTCGAAATACACTTTTTTACTGTAAAATTTTTTCTATTGCTTTGAAAAATTTCATCGGCAATTGAAGAGCTTCCTAAATTCTCTTCAAATTTTCATTATTTATAAATATTAAGATTGTTTAATATATTTAACATTAAAATTTTGATGTTTAAGGGGCACCCGACTTTGCAGCGGCGTTCGACACAGGTGGACTGAACAGCGCGGCGGCCGCAGCAGCCGCAGCCCAGGCAGTGTCCAACTCCAGTGCAGTGGGGGAGCCGGAACAGTGCAAAGTGTGTGGAGATTACGCTTCCGGGGTGCACTTCGGAGTGCTCACGTGCGAAGGATGCAAGGTGAGCACAAAAGACTATACGGATCTCTTTAACTATTCCACCTTTTGCAAAGATTCGTTACTAGGTACAAAATTCAAATATGCTTAACCGTTGAAATTTTTGTTTCTAGGGGTGGCAAATTGTTATTAGGTACCATAAGGGGGTTGGTTGTTGAAGTTGTTGAAGAAATCCGACTATAACCGCAATAATGTACTGAGAGGGAGGGAGAGGCAGTTATAGCTGGATGTTGTTATCAGAGCCCCATTTTTGTTACATTCAACACGACATCCAAATATGACCCATCGGTGCAAGTTTTTTCTTTAAATTATGCGTGCGGCACAGAGCATTTTCAGAAAGTGGGGTCAATAGTCAATATATTTAATCAGTGAGTCAAAAAGTCGTCAATGATGACGCAAACAGGATGTTCCACTACAGCCAGTTTTGTGAAAGAAACTACAGCGACTCAGTTCATTACGGAGTGGATGAATGCATGCACTCTTTGCTCAAACTGGATTTTTTCAACAATGGGAAAATGGTTCGGAATTTTTCATCGCAGCTCGAAATACTACTCAAACTTATCATAATATATTATATCACTTGAACTGAAGTGGATTTGTGGCTGGTTTTTTGCGGAAAAAATACAAAAGCTAGCCCAAATTTCCTCTGCATTTCCGATGTTGGGAGCAAACAAGCAAAATTATGCTGTTTATTTTTGTCTGCAGGGTTTTTTCAAGCGCAACCACCGAGATGGTTCTTCAATCTCTAACTCTGACTCTAAGGGGTCATCTGGGTCCACTCCTCTGACGTGCAACCGGGACCAGAAGTGCGAGATCAACGTGGCTTCGAGGAACAGCTGCCGGAGCTGCAGGTACAGGAAGTGTCTATCTGCTGGCATGTCCAGAGAGTGTGAGTAGACCAAACTTGAAGAAAGCAACAACGTTATTATAAACATTTTAAATATTTCTTAATATATTAGTATAAGTGTCAGGTGGCACCTATTACATTTGAACATAATATGTTACATTGATATAACTTTTGCTCTCAATTATTGACAATTGACGTGGGAAGGGGGACGCATTAACGCCTGACCACCGAAAAGATCCCCCTTGTCACTATTTGAGACATCAGTTTCTTAGTCGATCAACTCTGAAAGATGAAGACAATTTCAGCGTCAGTTTTTTTCTAATTTTGAGAGAAAGTGTGCTCCAAAAAATGCGGTTCTTTGGTTGAAACCTTTAAAAAAATTTCACTTCGTTTTAAGAAATATTGTTCATAAGTTTTGTCATAATACGTCATTTACCGTATTTCGGGAGCCCTCAGAAATTGTTTTTAACAACCTAAAAAAAGCCGACCCAATTATTGGAGCACACACAATATCGAGAAGAACCTATAAGCTATCCTGTTTGTGATGACATAACAATCATGAAGCTGGTTTTTCATGTTCCGTGTTTTTTTAGGTTAAGGTTTGAATTAATTTTTCTTCGCTAAAACATTCTTTCTTTTCCATACAACACAAGCTATGGTTGACCGACTTGCTTAATCAACTATAATGGTCCATTTCTTGTTTCAGCCATCAAATTGGGCCGACGATCCAAAAACGAGAAAGTTATTCTAAGTAAAGATTGCGAAAAGAGTTCGGCCCGAAACAACGGTCTCATGACATTCATTTCACCCCGGTCGCTTGGCAATCCCCACCTCGCGTCTTTCTCCCCCTACCACGACTTGAAGTCCCCCCTCAAACCTTTTTCATCGAGTCCCAGTTACAACGTAACTGATGGGTACCTCAATGCTCATCGATCTTCAAATTACGGCCTTTCTTTCGACTATCCGAACTATCGGTCTGACGCACATAGTTTCTACATACCAACTCAACCTAACACGGGTGGAATATACTCGGGAATAAACCCGATGGAACCGATAAACTCGTTTGACCTCTACGGATCTTCGGCAGCCAATCAGAATGGACTTCCGCCCACGACTTCAATGCCTCAACTCTCGGCTCTTGGTTCCAACTCCAATATCTTACCTTCGCTTCAGATGCCGAAATTGGAACCGGTTATAAATGGGTCTGAAATCCAGCCTAATTCTACGCAACGAGACCACTTATCTCTTGCTTCGACTGGAAATAACATTATGTCAAGCCCTATTTATTCGAATGTGCCATCAGCCGATTTTTCAGGAGGTGCGGCAAATTTCAACACTTCGTTTCTGACACATCAATCGGCTGTCAATCACAATCATCATGGCTTCTTCTCAGCCAATCAGAACGAGAGTTTGAACAACTTTGCGAGCCATAATTCGGTCAATGTGAATGGCCATACAAACAACTCATGGTCCATAATTGACCACATTGTGACATATTGATTCTTTGCAACAACAAAAAAACTCGCATAAAATTGCCAATTAAACTTCGAAAATAACTTCATAAGGAATATTTTGAGCAGCTTCTTTTTTATTGACTAACAATTTTTGTTATGCATAACTTTGTTTTTAAACTTAAGTTACAGCAAAATGAGAAACAAATTGAAACAAAAAGAAATCTTTAACAAACTATAATTTTTGAATTTTCAAGCAAGTTTTCGCCAAATTTTTCTCTCAAAAATCTAGGCATAAAAATGTGGTAATTATTTTTGGCTTGAAACAAATGATCAAGAATTGTCCATTTTATGAAAATAAACCGGTTTATTTTGGTTGCCAGATAAAAAGATTTCGTTTTCAGATCTTCTATTTGTCTTGATATTTGTAAGATTGATGAGATACTGAAATATGTATAAAATATTGAAGACTGCACAGCAGATTTTGCATAACGATTAATCAAACAAATTGAGACAGAAGTGAATTGTTTCTCAGTTGATATTTTGGGTTCCCTAGTAATGCATAAGAACTCAAATAAAACTGATCTTCTGTTGAAAAAGTACAGCAAAATAGAACTTCGTGCAGAATCGATGTTAAAAAGTATAAAACATCTTAGAAATTTCAAATGGGTATAAACCTTTTTGAGTGCCAAATCCCTAAAACCCAGGCCCTAATTTTGTTTCTCAGAATGAATAAAAAATTTTTTCCTCAAAATGAAAAAAAATTGAGTCGAAATAAAATTAAAACGAGCACAACAGTTTTGTCGCAATAACAAGTTATAAAACTTTTGGTGCGTTTTTTTCAAATCTTTGGTTTTGGATGAAATTTGCAAGAAACTGTTTTTCAAAATTCAAAATTAAAATCTAATTGATTAGCAAAAATGGCAAAAAAGTGAACTCTATATCCAGAATTGTTAACGTTATCTTTTAAGACTTAATTATTCTGGTTATTGAGTCATGATAAATTAAATGCCTTTCATTCATGTAGCCCATGAGGTTTTTAAGTCTTAAAAGATAAGTTAACAATTCTGGATATAGAGTTCACTTTTTTGCCATTTTTGCTAATAGAGATTGTAATAAAACTTTAACTTGGGAAACTATGTTGAGAGCGAAAACGATCTTAAAAACGCACGCTATCATCACCACCATCATTTCATCGCGTAATACAGTAACATGGGATCAACATTACCAGCAACAAACGCTGGGTTTTGAAATTTGTCTTTTATCAATGGACAGGCTGAAGACAAAATAAACTCGCTGCTATACCAAGGCCATACAGAGCTAATATGAACCTTAGCTTCTTCTTCAGTCTCTTAGACTATTCCAGGGTTAACCCTCTGCTTTTTATACTAAAATCTATAAAATTTCTGAAAAGTGCAGGTTCAAATGGCAATCGATAGTGGCTTCTCTCGAGGCTCTTTGAGAATCAAAATCTCATACTGTCGGAAACAGGAGTAGGCAGGTCGTGAATAACTGATATTCTGAGACTTACAGTCTCAAAATGCTGCCAAGATACTCTCAAGTGTTCGACTGGCATGATGAGGTTTAAAAATTAGCCGACACCCTAGAAAAAGTCAAAAGAAGGTGCGTTTCTTGAGATTTCCAAGAAGCAGTTTCAGAGCAACTCGTGCGTGGTGTGACGAAAGGCATTGGAGACAACCTTAAATTTAGGAATAATAGACAGTCACAGTAAAATAGGCAAATCGGTAAAAACAGAAAATTAAAAACATTCAATATATTTGTTCATTTTTTTGCAGCTTTAGATTTAAATTTTTGGCGCTAATAACACCAAAAATTGCACTAAAAACATTTTTACTCCGCCAAAAAAAGTTTACTCAAGTTTCATGTCTTATCCTTCTATATTAATCTGCTCGGTTGCTTTACTTGTTCGAATTCATTAATCATTCACTTAAATATAATAACTACGGAAGACAACACACGGAACAACGCACGGAAGACGGTTAAAAAATTACAGTTATCTGAATTGTTAGAACCAGACACTTAAGGTTTATCTGTTGGTTCTTTTTGAATCTCTTTCAGCTTAGGTTTAGAGATTTTTTATCATTGGCAGCTTTCTGATGTTAGACGAATTGAAAACAACCTTCGCCTGAAAAAAAATCGATCAATTGATATCATATGTATAATTCTAATTTCAAACAAAATTGACAAGCCAGTATGAATCGAAAAAAGTTTTAAAATTTTATGTTCTTTTCTCAGACCAATAATGCAAGAAAATACGCAAACTCAACAAGCAAAAATTTTTTGCTCATTGACAATTGATCGTTCTTTAAAGGTTGGGTGAACCTTTTATCTTTTTCTTTGAGAAATTCATAAAAGGGTCTTTAATAAAAACTAATAGAAGACCGTTGACCAAATAATTACTTCAATTAACAAAGTGTCAATAAACTCAAGGAAATCGAAAAAGAATGGTCGAATTTTTGAGCATAGTTCAACTTCCCTTTTTGAAAAGCATCATTTAAAAGGTGTTTGAATCTCATTTTTAGAATTTGCTGAATGTACTTTTTCCCCTAAAAACTAACTGGATAATGTAAAACTGCATTAAGCGTTCCTTTTTTTACTATTCGCTGGGAATTCTGAAAAAACGCACCTCAGGTGCTTCGAAGTTTTAACAAATCACAAAAACTGCAAATATTGGAAATAAGATCTGCATCCCTTGAGTGTACTCTGAAAGTAACCAATTACAGGGTTGGTTATTTTAAAAATTTGGGAGATATTTTTTATTCACGTTTTTTAATTCAATTTTCGAAAACCCATAAGATTTTGTGAAGTTTTTTTTATACCTAAGTTCTTTGAAAAAATTTAAAATCAATTAAGAAACGTCACATTTCGAAAATTAAAAGCAATTGAGCAGTCGAATTTTCACGCAAGATTCGCAACCCCTGAGAGTACTCTGACAGCCCCCAACTAGAGTTTAAGATTTCAAATTTTGAAAACCTTTTGAAAAAAAAATAAACGTCAAATCTCGAAAAAAAACAAGGTTAAGACACTTATTTGGAGGCAAAATTCGCAGCTACTGAAGTATTCTACCAGAGCCTCACTTCAGATAAGGGACATTCAAATTTTGTGAAATTTTTTTATATCAAAGTTCTTTGAACAGTTTTGAAAAAAAACATTACAAACGTCACATCGCGGAAACTAAAAGCATTTGAGCAGTCGCATTTGGACGCAAGATTTTCAACTTGGAACTCCTGAGAGTACCCGCATAGTACCCAACTACAAGCTTGAGAATTTTTTAAAATCTAGATTTTCTGAAAAATTACAAAGAAATCATAAAACATGTCATATCTCGATGACTACAAGGATTTGAGCAGTCACAATTGGAGGAAACCTTCGCAACCCTTGAGAGTACTCTGACTGCACTCAACTAATTTTAAAATTCCCAAGGGTTGGGAATTTTAAATTTTTTTGTAACTAGAGTTTTCTGAAAATTTTCTTATCTCGTACACTTAAAGGATTTGAGCATTCACAATTGGAAGCCAAATTCGCAACCCCTGACACCATCCAACTATACGGCTGCTTATTTTCAATTCGGTGTGAAATAAACATTGAATTCAAACAGGAAAACCGAAAAAACAAAATCTTTCGTTTAACACACATAATGCGTTGAAAAAGCTTTAACGTGGCGAGATATTGAAGCCCGCATTTAAATGTATAATAGAAAATAGATTCCATTTTTAGAATTAAATGTAGTGTCATTTTTCACATCATTTTCACTACCGCTATTTAACATGGGAAGCTGCCGAGCTTTTAGTAAATGAATTCGAATTGAACTGAAAAACAAATAAACAGTCATGTAACCAAAACAAAACAAAATAACGAACGAATCGAAGTGTCTTCACTTCGTTCACTGACAAAAAACAAGACCAGTTCTTAAAGATACCAAACTGTCAGCCAGCCTTCACAATAATACGTCGTCCACCAATTGTCCACCCACCCCCACAAACTTCGCCTCATTGCATAGCTAGCAATTCACAACTTCCTGGAATCGTTAAAAATGAAAATACTACTTAAATCACGCCGTTCAATTAAACTTTAAATCAATAGAAGAAAATACAACAAAATTATCAATTAAAAACCACGAACATAGCTAACATACAGTTGGAAAAGTGTCAATGAACTCAAGGAAACCAGAACAAAACACGAGTTGTTTGAACATTTTTCAATTTTCGGATAAAAATATGTCACGTGAACGCTATTTGAAATTCAAAAAGCTTTAATGATTGAGTTTTTCCTGCCTTTTACAAGCAAGCGTTTCGCGCCATTCTCACTTTCATTATTGGAGCGGTTAATGTCTTCCTTTTAGCTAAAACATTGAATCGAATTTGAGAAAAATCAGAGTCCAACTGCGACAACTCAAAGTTGAGCGGGAACAAAGCGTGAGCAGCAGTAACTGAAGATCATGTGAACATGGACATTTTTCTGCATGAAAATGGCAATATTTTCATGCAAGTTTTGATCTTCAATTTTTCTCTCAAGAACACAGAAAATCCGAACGCACGTTCGGAGAATGTTCAAATGCTTTTGGCGAACATTCGAAGGCTACTATCGAATGAATGTTGCAGCATTAGAACAAACTTTGAGATTTTTCCCCAATAAAAAAGTAAAAACCATACGACCTCAATAGAATTCTGGACTCCGATCATTGACACTCAATAACTGAAGGGTTCGGATCAAGAAACAAAGCAATCAATTGAAATCAACGCACAACAATCAAAAATGGTAAACTACACATCACAAGTATCGAGTTGGATTCAAATCAGATAGGACAACACAATCGATTTGAAAGCGAAGAAAAGAAGCCTTTCATTTGAATCTCCTCTCCTCTTCATGTCTCACTGTTCCATCGGCGTCTCACCGTTCTGCTCATGTTCAATTTGTCTCATGGTCGCTTTCTGGTTCAGACTCACACTCTTGGTTGAGTTGTTCGTTTTGTAGATGCCAACCAACTGGTCCGACAGCTCGAACATCTGGCTTCGGAGGGAAATAATGATGAACTGCGCATCTGCAGTTCGCCCCTACAATAACACCAAACATCATTCATCTGTCACTCAATCCACCAGGTAGCGGTGGGGGCACTAGGAAATTTAACGACAAGCAAATTAGCCGTGTGACCAGAAAAAATGAATTTAAAACCACAAACATTGCCAATCAAAAATTGGAAAAGAGTAATGAACGCATGTAACATAAACAAACACTGACTGAAAACGCCCAATGAAAACCAAGTTAACATCCTCCCCCTAAACGTTTTTTTTTGGGTGGTGGGAGGATGTTAACTTGGTCCGGTGAAGTTTTTAATCCGCTGAAAATAAATTCCACTTTCGAAACTAGAAATCGTTCACGTTTTTTCGCGCCATTTCCACATTCGTATTTGTAGAAGCTTATTTACGTCACTTTCAGCAGATGAAATTCAATTGAACTCAAAAAGTGCATATATACCTAAGTGCATCAATATTTTAAGACTTTTTAATGAAAAAAAAAACAAATAAAAATCAGCAAGACCTATATAAGAGTCTTCACTGCGTTCATTACTCTTAATTATGGGAAATTAGACGTAAGTGTATTGTTCGTGTCTAAAATTTGTTTACTGACTACAATTAAGTTTGGTTCGGGCTTGCTAAAATGCAAGTCAATTTTTGAATTGAGGCAATCTATAAGTTATGCATTTCAAAAAAAGTTTACAATATTTGAATTAATGTTTTATAAATCATTTATTATAAAAATTTTGACATGTAATGGGATTTTATTTTCTTGTATTTGTGAAGTTTTGCTTTAAGCAATAACTTTTGTTAACCCTTTGCTTTCCGTCTAAAATGCTAGTTTTGCGAGAAAAAATTAACGTCTAAATTCCGTTTTTATTGGAGCCGTCTAATTTGCTAATTGTCTAATTTCCTAGCCCCAGGTAGCGTCCTTTTTTGCTTGCAGCCTAATTATACCTATTGCAAAAGCACACGCCGCTACAAAAGCCGCTAAGATATCTCTTATAAGGACCGAATGGGCGAAAAAACTCGTGGGCAAAGGACCGAAAACAAAATTAGCCGAGAGTCAATTTTTAAAAAGAAGCAGTTGCCATTCAATTAAAATGAATTCAATAGAGCAATACTTTGCTTCTTTCATAACGAAAAAATAACGAAAAAAAATTATAAAATTTGTTCCAATTCGGTGGCGGTCAGTGACAATTTGAAAACTGCAAATTTTTGCGGTTTTTGTATTCGGCCAATATCAACATTCAATCCCTTATAATGTTTAATTCCTTTCCAAATTTTAGAAATCTGAATTGGCTGATTTTTATTCTCGCGCATTCGCTCCTTCGCGCATAAGGGATTCCATCTAAAATTTGCAAAGAAAGTAAACATTTCCAGGGACTAGAATATTGATATTGGCCGAATATAAAAACGGCGAAATTTTCAAATTGTCATTGACCGCCGCAAAATCGGGACAAAATTTATATTTCAAGGGTTTCGTAATGAAAGAAGCAAAATATTGCTTCATTTAATTCATTTCAATTGAATGACAATTGCTTCTTTTAAAAAAAATTGACTTTCGGCTAATTTTGTCTTCGGTCCTTGGCCCAAAAGTTTTTTCGCCCATTCGGCCCTTCGCGCATGCGAATAGCCCGCAGATTAACTATCCCCCTCCTATGGTACAACCCCTGTGAAGAAATAACTGATTAAACGGCAACGGTTAAGCATATGAGAATTCTGTACCTAGTAACGAACCTCTCCAAGGGGGGGGGGGTGGTAGCTAAAGAGACCTAAATTGAAATTAAACTTGCAAGCAAATTAAAATGGCTAATTAATTTGCGGAGAACTTTTCCTCAGTCAGGTGAGTGTTGCTTTAGCTTTGTTCCGCACCATTGTCGGCTTCGGGGCGTGGTTGATTATTCACCTGAATGTAGTTTGCGATGATGGACACGTTTTTGAAGTCCAGAGCAGCGTCAATCTCGTCCATGAAGTAGAAAGGCGTGGGCTTGTAGTGGTGCAGGGCGAACACCAGAGCCAGAGAGCTCAATGTCTTCTCTCCTCCGGACAAGTTGGAAATATTCTTCCAGCTCTTTTTCAGAGGACGCACACTAAAAGACAAACCACATCATGCAACTGCATCAGTGACGGGCGCAAGAATTTTGAATGGGAGCAGAGCGGCGTTTCGAATACATCTGTCGAACCATTTGTAGTCGCCCATTTCGACCATTTTTGACACAGAGGCGAAGCTTTGCTCCGCAAACACTAGCAAAAACACGAAAAAAGCAGCTCTAAAAAGTGCAATATAAAAAACTAGAAATAAGCCTCGAATAAGTAAAAAAAAAAAAATCGGCTACGCCTGGGATTGGATCTGCGCCGTAAATAATACACAGATGCGAAGCATCGCTTCGCAAACACTTACAAGAACATGATAACCGGTGGTACTGTAGCCACTTTATGTTGCGAAAAAGTGGTCAAACAACTTTCTAACTTTGGTGTTCAGAAAATTGCAGTTATGGCGGGCACAAACAATTTGTTTGATAAATGAAGTCAACAAATCATGGTGTAAGGGGCCGTAGTCGAAGAAATGGAATACCTGATCTGCACCTATCTACACCATGGTTTCAAAATTGCAATTGTTTCCTTGATTGTCAGAAAATGTCACACCCGAACAAATAAGATTAAAGGACTGTTATAGACGGTTAGCATGAGCCTACAACATCCCCTATGTGAAAACCAAACAGTTCAGATACAGGCAACATGTATCACCAAATGGCCTGCATCTAGACCCCCCATCCAGTAGACAGCTAGCCCGAGTTTGAGTTTTTCAAAATGCACTGTACAGCTTATAATTCTCTTCTGTGTTCTGTGCTTTGAAGATGGTCGCATGAGATCTTTTTCAAAATGCACTGTCCAGCTTATAAATCTCTTCTGTGTTCTCTGCTTTGAACTGGTAGCATGACATTTTTTCAAAATGCACTGTCCACCTTATAATTCTCTTCTGTGTTCTCTGCTTTGAACTGGTAGCATGACATTTTTTCAAAATGCACTGTCCAGCTTATAATTCTCTTCTGTGTTCTCTGCTTTGAAGATGGTCGCATGAGATCTTTTTCAAAATGCACTGTCCAGCTTATAATTCTCTTCTGAGTTCTGTACTTTGAAGATGATCGCATGAGATCTTTTTCAAAATGCACTGTCCAGCTTATAATTCTCTTCTGTGTTCTCTGCTTTGAACATGGTCGCATGAGATCTTTTTCAATATGCACTGTCCAGCTTATAATTCTCTTCTGTGTTCTCTGCTTTGAAGATGGTCGCATGAGATCTTTTTCAAAATGCACTGTCCAGCTAATAATTCTCTTCTGTGTTCTCTGCTTTGAGATGGTCGCATGAGATCTTTTTCAAAATGCACTGTCCAGCTTATAATTCTCTTCTGTGTTCTCTGCTTTGAAGATGATCGCATGAGATCTTTTTCAAAATGCACTGTCCACCTTATAATTCTCTTCTGTGTTCTCTGCTTTGAACTGGTAGCATGACATTTTTTCAAAATGCACTGTCCAGCTTATAATTCTCTTCTGTGTTCTCTGCTTTGAAGATGGTCGCATGAGATCTTTTTCAAAATGCACTGTCCAGCTTATAATTCTCTTCTGTGTTCTCTGCTTTGAAGATGGTCGCATGAGATCTTTTTCAAAATGCACTGTCCAGCTTATAAATCTCTTCTGTGTTCTCTGCTTTGAACTGGTAGCATGACATTTTTTCAAAATGCACTGTCCACCTTATAATTCTCTTCTGTGTTCTCTGCTTTGAACTGGTAGCATGACATTTTTTCAAAATGCACTGTCCACCTTATAATTCTCTTCTGTGTTCTCTGCTTTGAACTGGTAGCATGACATTTTTTCAAAATGCACTGTCCAGCTTATAATTCTCTTCTGTGTTCTCTGCTTTGAAGATGGTCGCATGAGATCTTTTTCAAAATGCACTGTCCAGCTTATAATTCTCTTCTGAGTTCTGTACTTTGAAGATGATCGCATGAGATCTTTTTCAAAATGCACTGTCCAGCTTATAATTCTCTTCTGTGTTCTCTGCTTTGAACATGGTCGCATGAGATCTTTTTCAATATGCACTGTCCAGCTTATAATTCTCTTCTGTGTTCTCTGCTTTGAAGATGGTCGCATGAGATCTTTTTCAAAATGCACTGTCCAGCTAATAATTCTCTTCTGTGTTCTCTGCTTTGAGATGGTCGCATGAGATCTTTTTCAAAATGCACTGTCCAGCTTATAATTCTCTTCTGTGTTCTCTGCTTTGAAGATGATCGCATGAGATCTTTTTCAAAATGCACTGTCCACCTTATAATTCTCTTCTGTGTTCTCTGCTTTGAACTGGTAGCATGACATTTTTTCAAAATGCACTGTCCAGCTTATAATTCTCTTCTGTGTTCTCTGCTTTGAAGATGGTCGCATGAGATCTTTTTCAAAATGCACTGTCCAGCTTATAATTCTCTTCTGTGTTCTGTGCTTTGAAGATGATCGCATGAGATCTTTTTCAAAATGCACTGTCCAGCTTATAATTCTCTTCTGTGTTCTCTGCTTTGAACATGGTCGCATGAGATCTTTTTCAAAATGCACTGTCCAGCTTATAATTCTCTTCTGTGTTCTCTGCTTTGAAGATGGTCGCATGAGATCTTTTTCAAAATGCACTGTCCAGCTTATAATTCTCTTCTGTGTTCTCTGCTTTGAACATGGTCGTATGCGATCTCTTCGAGCACAAAATTGATTGATTATTTTAAAGATTATTCATCACAACTTCACTGAAAACTTGTTTTTAATATATCGGTTATCGATTTTTGAGTGTAGTCTGCTTTCATTTTTTGTTCATAGCCGCTTTCTTGTCTTCTGTTACCCGCTCAAGTTAGAAAAGATGGTCGCCTAAGATCTCTTTTCCTGCTTAAATTTGAATTTACAAAAATTTGCCTAAACTGGATTAAAAGTATCATATGGCCATTTTCACCCGGATTACCGAAATTTTGTTACTGGTCTGCAAATTTGTTTAAACACCTTTACTGGCTTAACTCCTTTCATTTTGGAAAAGTAGAATGGTAGCTCAGGATTTTTTGCCATCTCTTCATCTAGAATCCTCGAAAACTTACCACAAAAAGGCCGCATAAAGTCTTTGTCTTGAAATCTGCGCTCAAGGCAGCTTTAGGCCAGTACTAAACTCATCACTGCAAATATTCGAGAAACAAATGGATCTCGGCTCCGGAAATTCAAAAATTGAAAAAAGAAGAAATTAGAAAAAATTAGAGACAGGAAAAAGAAAATCACTCATGCCGCCGTGATGATGACAAAAAGCAGCAGTGAATGATACAGAAGAACTTCCAAATAAGTGAACACTTTTATCCACGAGTTAGCTTAGAAAAAAGATTCGTAATAATACTCTATGCTGATCGCTAGTGTAAAGAAAATAGCCTTCGAGAGGTATAAACGAAAAGACCAGAATTTTATTCGTACTCTTACTCTAAATTAGTGCATTATAACTCCGAGGATTCTCCTTAGAAGTTTTTGAGCGGGTCGGCGGAAACTGGATACCAGCAGATTTTAAAACTCAGCAAAAAACTATTCATTATCGTTTACGCAATTATTAGAATAAATCTATAGATTTATATAGGCTTAGGAGTAAATTATAAAGAGACACAATGAACTTTGATCAAATAGGATAACATTTCCAAAATATGTGAAATAGTCTCGAATAAAATCTGTGGACACAAATTCCTTGCTTGAAGGAAACCTCCCAGCAGTTCAAAGAATTCAAGTAAAAACAGAATTTACACAGAGGCGAAGCTGAGCTTCGCACCACTTGCGATACGAAAATAAAAAAGCCGCTAAGTCAGAAAAAATCGAAAAAAAATTCGAAAATGTCGAAAAACTAGGATCTATCTAAAAAATAAGGACAGTTTTCAAATTAAAAAAAAAACATGCCAAGACAATGGAATGTGAAAAAAGCATCCGAAGAAAATTTACCAAACGGTAACAAAGCCAAAAAATACCTTGACAGAATACCTTTAGGCAGAAAAAAAACAAGACTTAAGTTATTAAGTATCCTTCACCCTCAAAACCAGCATACATACCAGCACACACAAATTTCTTCGAATTTCTGTTAAGATTTATAGCGTTTTGTGCGAACCAGAGGTGAGCATAAAAATTTTGTTTTCTAGAAACGAGTCGATATTAGGTCACTAAGCCGAGAAAAAATAGGCCGAAATCATTTGGGCAGAATAAAGTTTTTCAGCGAAAAAAAAGAATACAAAAAAATCAAGTTTAGTTCAATTAAAAACATCAGGAGAGGTAAGTCAGAACAGTTAAAGCAACTGAATTGTAAAAAAAACAATTCTACAATATGAAAACAAAGCCGACCTAAGATAAGCAGATAAATAATGAACCGACAAGTTTTTCGAAAAAAACAGGCCCTGTCAGATTCCAACCCAAGACCTTTGCCGTCCCAGTCGTAATCTTTACCTCCAGACCAAGTGTGCAGGAGACACAAAAAATAGAATTAGTAAAGAACTGAACCTAAATTTATCATTTCTACTTTTGACCATTCTGTGCCCTAAGTTATTTAGGGGAAAAAAGTCTAGCACCCATTGCAAAACCCTAAAATACAAATGAATAAATAGTGGAAAACAATGAGCAAGATGCAAGTCTCTGCATGAGGACAGGATAGGACAGGTGTCAGCTGAACAGGTGGTGTGGTAGGGTGTCCTATCACGTCTCGTCTATCCCACAAGACGACAGAGAAGTGGGCGTTGATTGGTTGATTACCTGAAGACGACTCCTTCGGAGAAGGGATCCATGCTGTCGACCAACTCCAACTCCGCATCTCCTCCCAGAGTGATCATCTGGTACATCTCCTTCAGTCTCTTCACAATCACCCCCAGCCCACTCATGAACTCACTCTGTCTCTTCCCCTTCAGTACAGTCACCTCCCCCTTCTTCAAGTCTCGGCATGACGTCATCCTGTCTAGCTCGTCCACTCGCTCCATGTACTGCGCAAACTTCTTCCTAAAGCATCCACCCCTTGTTCAAAACTTGAAAAAAAACATGTTCCGATTTTTTTATGCTTCTTAATCGCAAGCTAACAGATCATTGGTATTTTTTTTGAGCTCAGGTGGCTGAATCTCACTGAGAGGCTGCTGTAAAGAACTTTGCTGACTCTGTGCAATGCTGAAAAAGATGCGGCAAAAAGTATGGATTCAAGATACTTCACATTGAAACCAAGGACACCACATTTCAAACACCAAAGACTCTACTTGAGAGATTCACCTAAATCAGTGCTGATCTTTTCAAGCGAACCAATGCAGCTGTGACGAAACAGCTAATTGTTGAGTTATTACAAGCCTATGACAATCACAGATTTATATCATTTGCTAGTGGAAAAAATTTTGTCAATACTAAAAATCATTCAAATAACTTGGAAATGTTCTCAAATAGGAAACCAATTACGAAAATGTTCGATGCTAACTGTAATCGGAAAAGTAATCAGAATAGTTTGCTTTTACGCTATTAAGTTAAAAATCACTCCATGTTACGGATAAAATTCATCCCATTTTCAATTTTCAAATTCATCCTGTTTTAAATATATTAGGAAATTTAAAAAAAAAACACTCCGATATCTTATTGCTTCACTTTTTTCCTCCGCTGATACTTTTTTTGATAAAATATTTCAATGATAAATCATTACGTAACATATCAATCGAAACATTAACACAAGCAAAGCTGCGCTTCGCTAACACTAACAAGAAAACGACAAAAAGCAGCTCTACAAAGTGAAACAAGAACAAGGATAGCCGGTTGCTGTGCAAGTATCATAGAATGTTACAAGCATATTCTTAAAAAGATACTACAATTTCTCATGATTTTTTTATTCAGTGCTGTTTTTTTTGTGCGTGGTGTGATGATAAAGATCTGAAAAAAAAACCCAAAACTTAGGCACATCCGACGGTCAAATAAAAAAAACAAATCGGACAGCGGTTATTGTCGAGAAATGACAAGAAAAATTGTTGAAATTTTTTTGAACTTTTCTAGTTATTTATTCCAAAAAGTCGCTAAAAACTTCAAAAAACAGTTTTACTGGAGTAAAACTGAAATTAAATGGCTTATCCTTCTTTAATAAGCCTGCTCGCTTGCTTTAATCGCTCGAAATTAGACTAAAATTCAAAAATTCCAACCGGTTCTTCTCGACACTGGGAAAAATTTTTAATGTGGTTCGAATCACGACTGTAAGGTCTTTAATATGATAAATCACTCCACCAATTACCATAGTTTTTGGTAAAAAGTTTCGGTTGAAAAGCAAATAAACAAACAGCTCGCTCCTCTTAATCGCTCGAAAATTTCAGACGGGTTTTTCTCCGATGAACAAATTTTCTCGAATTTTTTTAAGTCGTTCGAATCACGACTGAAAAATCTTTTTGATGATATATCACTTGATTCATTCCAATAATTATGTGATAACTGATTTTGCGTGTAGAAAACCTAAAACACGAAACCTGAGACCTCGAGATTTGGAGACTTGCATCTTCAATGATGCAGCTATAGATGCTAATAAATCGCCAGTGCTATGCAGCAAAAATACAACTTAAACTACATGCGGCGTTGAACCCCCCGATCAATAGATTAGGAGTCTCACTTCCTTCCATCTATGCCACGGTCGCTTAACGATCGTCAAACACTAGCCACAAATAAAGCAGATAACAGATGCTATGAAACTCCGATTCTACAGATCTTGACTATAGCAGAAGTGCTACCACAGATGAGCACGTTTATTTGCGACTTAGCTTGGGTAAAACAAAAGTCATACTAAAACACTACCCCAGCTAGCTCAATACTCTACATATCTATCTTTTCTAGATAATTTCAAGTACTTTGGAAGAAAACGTGCCAGAAAAAAATCAAAATGAATCTGATCTCAAATGAAATCTATTAGGCAACCTCTTGATTTAGAAAAAAATTAAAAGAAACAAGGATTTTCCACTGCGCTATGTCGTTTGATGACTATATTATATCTTTTGTATAATTGAGAAATATAAAAAAGATTTACCTCTAATCGGGAGCTGTTATACGCTAAGTTTGAGGCAAATGTATGAAACGGCGGTTATTTAACTTGAGGTTGTAATCTGCACGTGTTGAATTACTTTGAAAAAAAACATGAATCAGTTCTTTGAGTATCTAGCTATCGCTAAAAAGTTTCACGTTTGATCGAAGCATTTTTCCGTTGAAACTACCCATCATTGCAAAAACATTATCATATGCTCAGAAAAATCTCTTCAGGTGAGGTAGATTTAAGCCGCTATCCTGTAATCTTTATCTCTAAAGCGCAGAAAAAATGCCGAAATCTTATTGTTTTTAATTTTCAAAATATTTTTAGTGTCACATAGAGGGAGGCGAACTCCAATCTCTCAGAGCTGTTTTCATCTAAGATTAACTTTAAAACGAAGGTGAAGCTGCAACTTCCCAACACAGAGGCAAAGCTTCACAAACACTTGCGAGAACACAAGAAGCAGCTCTATGAAGTGCAATAACAAAAATAAGAAATAAGCCTCGAATAAGTAAAATTTCGGCTACCTCTGAGATTCGAACCTGCGATCTTAAGTTAAGAGTCGCACACACTAACGACTCAGGCACGGAATCTTCATAGAAAAATAAATTTGCTATGAAATTTATAAAGCTACAGTGAAATTTCGCTAAACTTACTGAGCTGGAAAATTATTAAAAAGATTTTTTATTGTTGTTTTGTTGTGAGAAAAAAAATTTCTGTGATAGAGCTTGATTATATGGTATCACAAAAGGAGTCACTAAAGCATTGGCCGCTCTTGAAACAGCTGAAAACCAGAAAAAAACTACATTGGAGCTAACTATGATGATTTGAATGCACTGCTCCAGCAACAAAACTTCCGTTCTCGCCTCAACAGAAGCCTGGCAAGATGATATACATAATCCTAAACTATACTGCCTAAAAGATTTCAAAAAAATATCTGAACGAAACAAAAATCAAGCTTTGAGACGTATAATAAAAATATTTTATAGGAAACACAATACCTTTGAAACTTGAAACCTACGACTTAGCAAGTAATTTAAATTCTTAGTGTCTGGGCTACATATATTAACACAGAGGCGAAGTTGCACTTCGCATACACAGGCAAAAATATGACCGATAACCCGGCGCGGATATAGGATTTTCTCGAGGGGGGGGGGCGGATTTTCAAACAAATTTTGAAAATTTGTCGACTTTTTTTTAGGTCGACCAAATTGATTTTCTGAGCTCTCCGAAACTAATATACAAACCCTAATTTGACCAAACTTTCTGCGCCGCAGAATTTGACCAAAGGAGTTTTTTCGGCGCGCTACCCCCTCAAAAACAATATAGATTGACGCCTTTAGAAAAATTTAAAGTTCAGTCAGCCAAAAATGGATATCACAAAATAGTACAAAAGGGGGACCCTTTGGGTCGCCAGGGGTTCGAACTAACATGCCTTAATTTGTAGAGCAGTGTATGGAGCAGTACTAACATGAACAAATTAAATGTAATTAAAATAAAATGAATTTTTTTTGTTATTTGAGATTTTTGTGAAAATCATCACCCCCACACGCCATATTAATAACAATGTGATAAATTTCGCTCCTAGTAACAAATCAATTATGGCAAGTAAGCTTCCTTCAACCAATTTGGAACGATTTCTATGACGGATTAAATCTCCGCTTACGCGTTAATAGTGCAAAACATATTGCGCGTTAATTGTCCCGAATTTGCCAAAATGGCAACTTTTAAACCCTTAATACTACACATAAAATGATGACAGGTGAATTATCTTTCCAAATTTAAGCTCAGGGCAACAATACTTTTGTAATGATACTGAAAAAAATCCCGTCAAAAATGGCAAGTTAAAAAATCGAAAAACCACGCCGAGCACAAATATTCCGTAACTTTCGTTAAGAAAATCGGAACAATAAAAGTAGCATTGGCTGTACTTAATAGCTGGTTAATGCACCACTTGAAATAACCAATAATTTAATGACTTGGCTGGTCGCAGATTAAAAATCACTATCGTAGTTTACTTACACGCATTTAGCAGCACCCAATTAGCTCACACCACACAATGCGAATAGTATGCAAAAAAAACCAGCATATTTGTCCTGCTTAAGGCTGAGTTGAGCTGAATGTGGTCGAGAAAAAAAGAAATCTGGCGTTGCATGTCAGCTAAAGTGAAGATTTCTGACCAGAGAACTTATTTCTGCACAATAACGACCTGTACTGCAACACACATCACAATAGATTACCTGAAATCTTCAATTGAGGCCATATTCGGTTTCATAGATTTCAATTTCTCCTCAAAGGATTCTAGCTCCTCTTTCAATGAGTCAACATCGACCTCATTTAGTTCTTGTTCGCTGAGTGTTTTCAGCTCACAGGGCGCGCAATCTTCCGTGTTCACACGCAATGCTGCTATCTAAAATAATACATCACACACGTGAATTTTTATCGAAAACTATCCAAAATCAGGTTATTCGTAGGACTATTCGTTGATCAAAAATCCTAACAACAATTTTACTTTCTATTTTCTAGCACACCCCAGGGCAAAATTAGGGTGGCGGGGCGGACGCCCAATCTCCCCACCTCAGAATTCGGACCCGCTACCAAAACAAGCCAACACAGTTGAAGAAGTGTCAATAAACTCAGAACTAGAAAAACATAACGTAAAATTTTTTTTGAATAGTTCAGAACTTTCGACTTTCATAGAAGAAAGATAATCACGTTTAAACTCTCAAAACTGCTGAATATTTTATGATTGACTGTTTTTTTTTTCATCAAAATGAATTAAAGAGGGGATTTAAATCCGTTTTTCCATGTAGAAGAAATCAGCTGTGTCAACTGATTCGAGAAGGTCGCGCTATCCAATCCGCGCTATCTCCCAAGCAGCAATGACAAATGAGAAAGCGAAGACAACAGTGCAAGTAAACAAACAGTTCTCGATAGTGATACTTCTTCTTGGCAAAGTCAGCGCTGCCCTTAAATGACTCGAAAAATGCGACGCTCCAGGTATTTTAAAGATTACCATCCAAGTGCTAGAAGATCTGAAGACAAAACCTGTTGGCGCAGCATCAACTTTAGAAGGTCTGCTTCGGGCGCCAGTTGATGACATTTTGATGGCATCTCATCGGACGACATTCTTATCTCGGTCCATAACACAGATGGAGGTGCAAGTCCATCTGGTCTTGACAGTGCTGGGCTCAGAAGGATTCTCTGCTCAAAACAATTCAAACCGATGTCTGATGAATTTTACGATGCCCCTAGCAATGACAACAAGACGACTCGGCAAATCTTATGAAATCATGCATCGATATCACCGCTACTTGCAAACAGACTGCTCGTTATCGAAAAAATGCAGGAGTTAGAGCGATTTGGATAGGCGAGTGCATGAGACGGAATATCGGGAAGATCATCACGCGGAAGTTCAAATGTCATCTCACTGAAACTTCTGGTCCACTCCAGTTAGCTGCAGGACATCTAGCTGGAGCAGAACTAGCTACCACAAAGCAAAACAATTCTTTGAAAACGAAAAGACCGATAAAATTCTACTGGAGGGTGCAAACTCGCCGAAATCGAGCGACGGTGGGAGCTTTTAGTTGTTCATGGACCAATCTTTGGTTATCACCCAAAAGCTTCAAAAAACTACCTAATCGTAAAAGAGCATCTACTCGACGAAGCTTAAGTACTCTTCGAAGACAGTGACCTTAATATATGGACTGGTGGTCACAAGCATCTTGGCTGTCCCTAGGCAACCATGATTTCAGTAACTGTTTCTGTAACGACCTCATTGAGAATTGTGCGGATCAACTTAAATCTCTGAGTGAAATTGCCAAATCTTATCCTCATGAAGCTTATCTTGGATACATCCTGTGACTTGGATACATCCCGTAACAAATGGAATTACTGCGGAACATGCATCGAAAATAGGATTACGATGCTGAAAAATCTTGACGAAATCGTCACTATTTCACTGCTCCTGTCTTATCGGAAACCCTGTTAGCTTTGAGTTAAGGAGCGTATTGTGGCTGTCATTTGGTTGGTGGGGTGGGGGGGGGGGGCGGAGACTTGGAATAAGAGACTAGTATAGCAGCATGGCCGCAGATTACGATTACTCCGAGAATCACATGACATACCGGTTGGTTGAACCATTTGCTGATCAATCTCTCAATCTGCCCAATAATACTCCCCAAGAGAGGCTCCAATGTCAATCAAAGAGTTGCAACAAATCAAAGTTGATCAAAATTGTGCCAATATTATGCGTGACGTAACCTCGAGTTTCAAGCCATGTGAAAAGGCAAGTTCCTGCTGGTTAAGTACCCTTCCCATTGAGGATGGAAACAAATCTCTGAACAAATGCGAGTTCAGAGAAGCAATTGCAACCCACTACCATCTGCCTGTTTGCAATCTTCTTCGGAACTGCAAACGCGGAGCAATTTTTTTCGATCGATCATGCAATGTCAACGACAGTATAAGGAATCTGCTTGCGGAAAAAAAAACAAGAGGTATGCGAGGATGTGTACATTGAACCACAGCTACAGCCACCTTCTGGTGAACCTCTGGAACTTGCAACGGCAAACATATCAGATTCGACACGTCTCGATGTCAAGGCAAGGCATTTCTCGGCTACAGGCGAAGTTACTTTTTTGACTTTAGAATATTTCACAGCTCCTGTCATTCGTATGTAAGCAAGAAACTCAATGTGGTAGACACTCAGCTCAGCTTGAGGCGGAAAAGCGCAGAAAGGGCGATAGAGATAGAACGTGGTACTCTGACTCCCCTAGAATTCTCTTCTGCAGGGGGAGCCGGCAATGAAGCCCAGAATTTTATAAAGCGGCTAGCGTCTCTGGAATCCAAGAAAACTGGCGTTGCGTATACTGAAATAATTCGCAACCTTAGAACCGAGATAAACTTTTGAGTGTTGAAATCAGCAATGACGGCTCTTAGAGTTTCGCGAAAGCAAGGTGAAATTACAAACTTGAATTAGTTATAAAACTTCCTTCTCCTCTTCATTTACTTTCCCTTTTTGCAGTAATTTCATTTCTTAATTGTATATGTAGAGTAAATATAGTTAATTCGAATTCTTTCCTGGTCCTCTTTCTATCATCCCTGCTGCTATTTCTAGTTTCGTTATGTGTTAATGTAGTTTGTTCATTGTGAATTTACTTTTTCCAAGTTCAAGAAAACCAGTTGTTCGCGCCATTTGAACGTTTGTTAGAGTAGCATAAGTTGCCTTAGCTCAAGAAAATGAATTTAAAACTTACTTAAGACTTTCGATGCAAGACAATCTTTAAAAAAGCCTCAGTCAAAAACAATGAAAAATGTTGAAAAAAAACTAGGTGAGCCCAAACTGTTGAAGGTCACTTAGAGCCCAGCTGGAGTTTCGTGTTTGATATTTTCGAATTTTTATACTGATGCCAAAATAAGTGAGAAAAGTGAAAATTTTTGAGATTTTGGAATTTTCCAAGGACGACCTTTCTCTTACAAAAAGTTCAGAAGTAGCCGCTTCTGCGGGAAAACTCGCTCAACCGCTATTTTCGATTAAAATTTTCTTTCGATTGAAAATTGAGATTTATTAGGGTAACTTTAGAGAAAAATCTAGAAGTCTCCAAAAAATGCTTAAGTTAAAAAATTGAATTTCCTAAATGCATAACTTTTTTTCTGCTGAAAGCAGGTCGTGGCCGGAAAAGTAGAGAGGATTCCCAAAATTGAGTTTCTCGATTGAACATGGCCTGAGTTATTGGCACGGTATTTTTCCAGTAGTCAATAAAATTGCCAAAAAATGGTCTAAGAATAATAGCTGTTTTTGGGGCTACCCGCATATGCAGAAAAGATTCACCCAACCCGTGGTTTCTATTGAACCCAAAAAACCCACGTTTTGCTGGGTATAGTTCTCGAAAGGACCTGAAATACAAATCAAGTCAAACCGCGAAAAAATAAAATTGAGCCTGAACAAATTTTAAGACTTTTCCTGGAAAAAAATCATCGGCTCAACAACAAACAAAAAAGTCACCGCGTCATAATTATTCGTCTTCATTAAATTCATTGACACCTGAAAACAACGGCTCTTTATATAGCAAAAAACCATTTTACGCTGCCCAAATGTATGAAATACAGGTTCTTAAATATCAGTTCAAATCACTGACTTTTAATGCTGGTTAACTTTAGTTCCAATTTGATATTGGACCTCTTTCAATTGCCAGAAGAAAGCTATGGACGTGACCTGCTTGGTGTAGCTGTTGACCTGTGAGTTCTTGTCTTTGATCTTGGCTGCCAGCTGGTCGCATTCGTGCTGCAATGCAAGATTTTTCTGCTTCACCTCGTCAAGTCCCTTCATTATGTCTCCCATCTCCCTGTTGAACCCCTCAATCGCTCCCTCCAGCTCCTTCTGCTCTTTCTAAACCACCAATTCAAAAGTTGAAACAGCACCAAATTAAAAGTTACTTAAAACCATCATAATTAAGCTTGTTTTTTTTTGTGAGCGCAAATGCGATTTGTTTAACGAAAGGATAAGCTTGTAGAGTTGGAAACTTCAAACTTTGTGAAGGTTTTTAGTTGTTCAATTCTTTGAAAACTTTGAAAAAATCATAAAAAAATGTCATATATCGGAAACTATCATTACAGCTAAAACCCTTGGAGGCAAGATTTACTTATAGATGCTTCAACAGTCTACCACAAGACTCGTATCGGTTATCTCAAGTTTGTCATTCCGACGAAAAATGGGTAAGAGTTTGATGGCACAGTCTATCTCCTAACTGTGCAACAAGAAGAATTAGTTAAAGGAGAAAAAGTTTCGTAGAAGAAACTTGTACAAAAACACCAATTAAAAAACTTCTAATTATTTCTGTTCGAATAAACCGATGTTTTCAATCCTCCTAACTAGCCAGCTGAGAAAAGAAACCTTGCCACCAAAAACTGTCTCTGATGGTTCATTCAGCGCTTCCTTGGCATTGAAAAATCGATTTTTTTTTTAAAACGTGCAAGAAAATGATACAGCCAACAAACAGTTGGAAAAGTGTCAATGATATCTAGTGAAATCAATCGAAAATCTAAAAAGCAAATAGACAGAGAACACGACAAAAAGCAAGCAGCTCTATAATGTGCAATCAAAACCTCGAGTTAGTAAAATTCGGCAATGTCTCGGATTTGATCTGCGACCTAGAGAATATGAGTCTCACGCACTAACCACTCAGTCACGGGCAAATACTAGCTACAATGAAGCAGAGAACAGATGATATGAAACTTCCAATACTACAGATCGTGATTATAGCTAAAGTGCTACCAAAAAATGAGCACTTTTAATGAACACTTATTTGCGAGTTAAGTTAGTGTTCGCACTGAAAAAGAATGTTCGTACTAATGCACTAACGCTTGCAAGCTGGGTTAGGTAGTGAGACAATGAATAGAGGCTAGGCATATTCGACAGTCATAATACAACAAGCAGAAAAACACTTTTTGCAGAAGAACGACAAAAAAATCATTCAATAAGTATGCAGAAAATTCAATTATTTTAAGAACTATGCAGAAATATGGTAGTGTAATTTCCATTGCATAAAAAACCTGGTAGGTCTTTTTCTCGCTCAAAATTCGACAAAAAAATCAAAAACTTCAACCGCTTTTTCTCAACACCAAGAAAATTTTTGCATTTTTTTAAAATGTTATTTCGAATCAGGACTGAAAAGTTTTTAATATGATATGACACTCAACCGAGTCCGATAACTAATTGTGGCACCTGATTTTGTGCTCATTTTTGTGCACCTGAAGAAGTAAATTTGAGCTTAAACAAACTTTAAGACGAACAAAAATAATCGCGAACTATATAGGTGTATCAACGACGTCCATCGACTCTTAAAAAGTATATTATTCCTCATCAATTAACAAAGTAGTTCCAGCGTAATTTTTGATTAATTGAAAAAAGCCAAAATGACTCAATTTTGGAGTAAAATTTTGCTTGAGAATTTCGGAGAACATATTGCACCATATGAACATCTATATATATATATCACAATAAGCCTCTTACACAGTCAAACAAAATTCCAGAAATGTTAAATCTCCAACAACTTGAGTACATTGTTTAAAATTTGTTTTTAAGCAAAGATTTTGGGTTTTATATAGTAAAAATCACGTTTCTCGACTATCAAGCAAAAATAGAACTTTGGAGAGATGTTTAAGATGCTTCTTGTGATATAATTTTTTCATCTATTGATGAAAGAGTTTCAGCGTCATTTTTGATTACATAAAAAAAAAGCCAAAATGACCCATTTTTGGGGTAAAATATGGTTGAGAATTTCGGAGAAAAAATTGCACCATGTTAATTCTGATGAAATTTTAAGCAACTTTTGTTCTCTTCTTTTTTTGTCGAATCGTAACCCAATTTGAGAAAAACGTGTTTGAAAGTTCAAGTTTTGTTCATTTTGTCCGGATAATTTAAATAAGTTCTGTACTTACGTCACTTTAAGCAGATGACTTTCAGTTGAACACAAAAAGCCCATATATACCTAAGCGCATTTATAAATACATCAATAAGTATCACTGCACATGTAGTCCTTAGAGGCTTTTTCCTGAAAAAAAATAGCACGACCTGTATAAGAGTCTTCACTACGTTCATTTTTCTTAATGAATAACTATCACTACTTGCAGAAAATCGAGAAAAAAAATCACTAAATTGATTTTCAAAAAACATAACAAAACATAGATAAACATGCCTCCTGAAAACAAAAAGAGGCCTCTAAGCCGATACATTGTAAGCCGAAAGCTTTCATACCGAAAAAAGACAAAAAAAAACGATATACTGAAATTGGATAAAAAACAAATTTCAAAAACACCATTGCTAATCCATTGCAAGGGTAAATATGAGCAGCGTTTAACTTGCAGACATGAGTACAGATGGAGACGACCAAATTTCATTCAACCCGTGAAAAAAGTTGTTTACGGGAAAAAAGTCTAGTACCCGATTGCAACACCCTGGCTATCTCAAGGGCAAAAATTCCAAACGTATTCATGTATAAACTTTTTAATTTGAGTTGGACATTCATTTTGCAGCTGGAGGGTCAAAGTTATCAGGAAGGTCCCGCAATTTCGGACTAAATCTGATCAATATAAACCGAAAAATGAGCCAAATACTTTCCTGAGCAATAAAATTAGCCTGAAGTTTAGTAGTTTAAAGCAGCCAATTTTTATCCGTTTAAAATACAGATTTTTAACTGAAGCTCTGAAAAACGCCATTTTTTTCTGGAACTTGGGGTATAACTTGGTAGAACTCATGTTATTAAAATTGCAGTGGGGACACTTTTGCCACCTTGCATTTAAGTGTGTTGGTGTGTGTGTGTTGGTGTGTGTGTTTGGTGTGTGTGTTTGGTGTGTGTGTGTGTATGTATGTATGCATGCATGCATGTATGTATGTGTGCGTGAGTGTGTGTGCGCGTGTGTGTAAGTGTGTGTATATGTATGTATGTGTAAGTGTGTGTGTGTGTGTAAGTGTGTTGGTGTGTGTGTGCGTTACCTGGCACACTTCGATGTTCTCCAGTATGTGGTTGGCGTCCCTCTCGCTCTGGAGGAGAAGAGACTTGAGATTGGTCTTGAGCTCAGTCAGTCTCTCCACCTCCTGCTTGTTCTGTTCCATCTGCGCCTCCATCTTCTTCACATTCCTCAACACACACAATAAACATACCTGCGAACTTTTTTTAGTACTTTTTCTGTTCAGATTGTCGGATTTTTACAAAAACTAGCATGCAGACTAATTAGGCCATTACAAACATATAAGATCTTCATACAAAACCGTGCAAAACGACTCGTTTCCATAAAACGTATGTTTATGTTAGGTGCGCGAAAGGAAAAAGAGCGAGACACAAACGATAATGTTGCAAGAAACGTTTTGCAGTTGGAATAATTGAACAAAATTTAGCAAAGCATTTAATGTAATGAAAATTATGGTGCAAGAATTGAGTGAATGAGAAAGTGTTGGTGATTACTTTTCGCTGGTCTTGACAGTAGTTTTCGCTTTGGTCAATTGTGACGTGAGAGCCTGCTTATTGTGCGCACATGTCTGCTGTTTCTCCTTAATGGGACCGAGCACTCTGTTGGTCTCGCCTTGTATCTTCTCATTCAGCTCCTCCACTTCCTCCTTGATGTGGGACGACACTGCAGCCGCTCTCTCGTATTCTGAAAAGAAAACAAAAACAAACAATCAACTCATCTGTTTGCTTCAACAAACATACTCCCCCATTAACCAAAACAAGAATAGACAGACACCTCAGTTGATTTTAAACGGAACAATGGGATCAATTCTTGTGAGCACTCGAAATGCTATTGGTTGATATTAGCCGGAAAATTATTTCACAATTACGATATTGGAGAACACGCATCAGATGGACCCTCCCGGAGGCAGGCATGTGTTTAATATCATGTCGAATCCGACGGTGTCTCCATACTTTGGTGGACATACGGACACACCTCACTACCGCGCTCTGGAGAACCTGGCACGTTCCGCCAATCAGTGGCTGACAATGAAAAAGTCATTGTCCCATCAGGAGGGAGTCAAAGCATTGAAGACGCTGACGGAAAGAAATCAAGTCCTCGCAGCCACCCTTCGCTCCAATTTGTCTGCTGGTACCCTTAGATTTAGGAACCAGATGCAAACGGATCAAATTCGCCCGTCGTTACCAAAACGTAATTTGGATTACTTAGTATTGAATGAACCAAATAAAGTCTAAATATTTAGGAAATTTCTAAATAGGAAGTCTGGCAGAGAACTTTTCAAACCTTTTAAGGGCAAAATCGTGCGGATTACTGGGTCCACATATATTTCTGATAAGGGAAAAGTGATTAGAAGAAATCATTTGGCGGTACGTCTTAAATCAACCGATCTAAGTTTTTCAGGCAAACAACTAACGCCTGTCAAGAAGGGGCAGAAACGCCCCATTGTATCATCTTCACCGTTATCATCAGAAGACAATCGGCCTCTCAAACAATCGAGTTCTCGCCAACGTATCACAGCTAAAACGGTAAACATTCCTGCTCGTTCGAAATTCCCATCTCTGCCAACTTCATATACTCCATCTCGTGGCCAAATTGTGTCGACTAAGTCAAAGGAAACTTCAGTCTCGGAGGCTCCAGGTGTACAGATTATCCCTTCTCCACAACACTCTATTCCAATAGTAGACTTAACAGCATCTTCTTCCACGTCTGGAAATCAAGGAACGGAGGTTCCCATTAGTATTAAGCCAAAGTCACCAATTTCAGTCATAAAAAATCCAGTATGTCCAGACCTCATCCCTATTTCTTTAGACGAGGAATCTTCTATTCCGAAATCTCAAGAAGGAACTTCTACAAAATTGGCAGCATCGGGCATTCCCACCCAAGGCGGTCCCGTCATAATGTCCGAACCGGATGGAAATGTATCATCCTCTTCGAATTCGTCTCGTGCCTCTTCTCGACGGAAAAAAACAGACTACATTTTACGGTAGCCCCATCAGACATTCCGTGAATATTACTCAATCACAGTCGATGTCTACACCTCCGTCAACTCCTGCTTCGCCGGACAAGAAAGTTCGCTTTGTCGTGGCTAATTCAGAACCGATGAACCAAGCAGGACAGTCTCGGGTTGTTCTTCCCGATAATTCCGAAGGCTTATATCGGAAATTCACGCGTTTCCCTAAAAAGAGTTCTTCCGACCATCCGTTGCGTCGGTCAGACAATTAAAGCTTTCGTACCTTCGAAATAGATAAAAACTTGTAAAACTCTCGTTTTCTCACTCAAGCCACATCAGTTAATTTGTAAAACTCCTAGTGTTTATCTGATACAAGAAGTATTGTTTATCGTCTGTGAGGGCACATTTAGTATTTTTTTTCTTACTGTAAAGAAATTCAAACGTTGTTTGAATTTTTTCCGAGAGGGGGAAATGTGGTGTGGCGTAGTTTATTAGATTATTATGACGTCATTAGTGTGCTAGCTATTCGTGCTAAACTTGCCTTTCTGTTTATCAAGGTCGTGACCGACCCGCCAATCCTTTATAGATTTATCACTATGTGTTCTTATTCATTCTGTCACAGCTTATGAAAGATTTAAGTTGTATTGAAAGATTTGTCATGACATTATCTAAGTACTGAACTATCTATATTATTTACATTACTATTAAACATAACAAGGAGAATTGATTCTTGTTTTACAACCGTTCTTTGAGTATTCACACCACATAAGAAGAGGTATCAGTTTAAGACATTGAAGCGAACTTGCATGAATACGCTTCGAGAACATACTGACCAATCAAGAATTTGCAAGAAAATGTAAAAAGTAGTGGGCGTTTATGAGTTGCTTACACAAAGATTACGTCTCATCAAAAGGTATACAATGACCTTGTGTGAGTGTGGCGATGGTGCTCTCTATCTTCTTAGCCTCTGCTGGGTCTGGCTCAGCCGCCTTCATCTCAGCCTCCGTCTTCTTCACCCTTGTCTGGTAGGAGACCAGCTGGTCTTTCAACAACTAAAAAGGATGCACACATTTCATTCAAAATGCATCTTTTAAACAACAGTAAAGTAAACCTTCCTTTCTGTGACCCTAAATGGCCTTCGATCAGATTGACTCATCACACTTCATCTACCCCCCCCCCCCCCCCTCCCCACCTCACACATTAGGTAGATCAGTTTCTGTTCACTTCGCACAAAAGGCATTTCTACTCCACCCCGACTGACCTTGATAGTGTGGTGGATCTGTGAGAGTGAGTTCTGCTTCAGATTGAGTGTCTGCTGCTGCCCCTGCAGTCCCTCCTCCAAATCCACCCTCTCCTGTCTCACACTCTGCAGTCTGTCTCTTAATTGCGTCTCTTCTTTTTCCCAACTCCCTATCTACCACAAATCAGATCAGATCAATCCAACTACTTCATTTTATCAACATGCATGCTATAGATTGAAACATCTACACCATCCTACATGCAAAGGGATCTTCAATCGAAACAAAAGATTAAACCACTCAGCTTCTGTCCTCATCTATGCAATCAATACGTTCAGCTTCATTAACAAAAATTTTCATACGTATTACCAAAAAAACCCAAGCTTGCGCGAACACATATTTCAAGAACAATGGAGAATTTGCTTCGTTATCGATAATAACACAGATTAAGCGTAGTATCGGAAGAGATGCGTGGTATAGCAAGTAAATCGCACCACTTGCGATACCACATGAAAATAGAAAGCATTGCAAGCTAGCAGACAGGAAAGGGGAGCCACTAAGTCTACAAAATGAACAATTTAAAAACAACAACAACAACTAAACTAAACAAGACTGCTCGTATCAGGGCGAAGCCCTGAATGTTCCGACTGCCTTTTAGGATTTATGGAGCAGTAATAACATTAAAAAATTCAATGCAATAAAACAAAATCAAAAAAAAATTTCTAAAATTTGAAATTTTTTATGAAAATCATCCCCCCACACGCCATATAAAGTACAAAAGGATAGATTTCGCTCCTTGTAACAAATCAATTATGGCAAATAAGCTTCTTTCAACCAATTTGGAACGATTTTAAGACGGATTAACTCTCGGCTTACGCGTTAATAGCGCGAAATATATCGCGCGTTAATTGTCCCAAATTGGCCAAAATGGCAATCTTTAAACCCCCGTAACTTTACCACCCGATCACAGGTGAAATATCTTTTCAAATTTGAGATCAAGACAACAATACCTTTCGAATGATGAAAAAAAATTCCGTCAAAAATGGCTAGTTAAAAAGTCGAAACTTGTCTGAAGAAATATTCCGTTACTTTCGTATCGAAAGTCGGAACAATGACGCACATTAACATTCGGTTAAGCAGTAGTATAGAATTAGATACGCTCTTTTAATTTTATTGTTCCGACTTTCGATACGAAAGTAACGGAATATTTGTGCTTGGGGTGGGTTTTTTTCTTCAGACAAATTTCGACTTTTTAACTAGCCATTTTTTACGGAACCTTTTTATATCATTCTACAAGTATTGCTGTCCTGAGCTCAAATTTGAAAAGATATTTCACCTGTGATCATTTTTGGTAGAGTTATGAGGGTTTAAAGATTGCCATTTTGGCCAATTCGGGACAATTAACGCGCGGTATAATTCGCGCTATTAACGCGTAAGTGGAGATTTAATCCGTCAAATAAATCGTTCCAAATTGGTTAAAAGAAGCTTATTTGCCATAATTGGTTTGTTACAAGGAGCGAAATCTATCCTTTTGTACTTTAGATGGCGTGTGGGGGGATGATTTTCATAAAAAATTTTTCATTTTGCTTTATTTCATTGATTTTTTTAAAGGTTATTACTGCTCCATAAACCTTAAAATGCAGTCGGAACATTCAGGGCTTCGCCCCGATACGAGCAGTCTTGTTTTATTGAAAAAGCAATAAACGCAAGTTAAAAAACTTTTTTTAAACTCCTATTACCTTCGATGACGAAAACACTTCAAAAATTGGTATAAAATCGGGCAGCATAACGGGTCCTTTACTGACAAAATTCTTGATTGATAAGAAATGTGACTATGTTCATTTTGATTGCAAAAAGGGGCAACCTAAATCTGCACTCCCATATTTGAATATTCAAATGACAATGTTGGCCCACATCCAGACCACACCCTTCCGAACCAGAACAAAGTCATAGTATTATTTCTACAGTCCTTGCTGACTCATGTAGGTCGCGGAAACAGAAACACAATCGACGAATGAAAAATCTAAACAAGTATCGAGCGGCAACTGAACCGGCAAACTTGGGTAAATTCAAACAAAACTGGAAACAAGAGTGTCGTCACGAATAACTTTGAACTATAAATTAAATTATAAGACTAAGCATTTTGTGAGATCCGGAGGGAAGCATAAAAACTGTATTTCCCCTGAAATTACCCAAAATTAGGTCACTAAGCAGATAAAAAATCAGCCGAAATCATTTGGGCGGAATAAAATGTTTCAGCGAAAAAAAAATAAGTCAAGGTTAGAAAAATCACAAATTGCAGGGGTAAAACAATACACTAAAAGCAACTACAAGACAAATAGCGTTCGGCAAAAAAAAAAAGGTTTAACGATATGGCGACTAAGCCGACACAACATTTGCCGGCAAATATTGGGCTAACAATTCTATTTGAAACAGAAAATTTCCCGTTTGAAAAAAAACAGGTCCTGCTCAGATTCAAACTCAGGGCCTATGCTGTCCCAGGCAGTTAAATTATCGCCAGACAAAATGTGCCGGAGACGCTAAGAAATTTGAATATTTTACACAGAGGCGAAGCTTCGCTTCGCAAGCACTAATGAGAATAAGCCTCGAAAAAGGTAAAAAAAAATTCGGATTCGATCTTTGAACTACTGCGACCTAGAGATTACGAGTCTCACGCACTAGCCACGGACGCATAATAAATCACAAACACTAGCCGAAGATAAAGCAGAGAGCAGATGCTATGAAATTTCGAATGCTACAGATCGTGATTATAGCAAAAGTGTCACCAAATAAGTGAACACTTTCAATGAACACGTTTATTGGAATTCGGTCAGAAAAGAAGAAAGTTCGTACTAATACACCATAACCCTAACCGAAAGTTAAGGGTAAAACTTCTAGTACCCAGTTGCAATACCCTAGCTAATCGCAAGATTGTAATAGAAAATTCAAAACCGAAATAAAGTACATCTCTAACAGTGAAAACAGCAAACAAATGGCACACCTGTGCTGGAGAATACTCCTCTCCAGTCTTATTAGACATGAGCCCCCTCGCCACCCTGGACCCTCCCCCACTCATAGTTCCCGACGTCTCAATCAACTGTCCCCCCTTAGTGACCACTCGCCACCTGTGGGAGCCATGTAGTGCCACAGTTCTCGCTTCTTCTATAGTCTCCGCCACAAGAGTGTCCCTCAGGGCGTAGTAGAAGGCACCTGCATGCTCATCAGGGTTCTTCATGCGCACTTGATCGAACAGTCGCACAGTACCTCGAGGCCTGAACATGCCACTTACATATTAGTCTGAGGCTCATTTAATGCCTGCAGTATTTTTGAAGATAGAGAACGCTCTAGTGTCTAGAAGGTTGGAACATATCGTCAAAGAAATACTTCATTGCCGTGACAGAGCAGATCAGCAGCAATACTACTTTTACTACTATTACTCTATTCACAAGCATTTTTCTGATTTGAGAACCAATTAAAAAGCGGCTTGTACGCTTAAGAAACTTACACGTCAACTCTTCTCTGACTATTCCGTAGATGTTCGTGCATCTTAAAAACAATCACACGTCAGAGTTTGATCATGATCAAATAAATAAAATCAGCAAAGAATATGTGGACAAACCTTGTCGAGGCCCAAAAACGTAGCCATTCCTAGACTTCGCTGCTTGAGTAAATGAACGCATTGTTTCGCTGTACTCATATTATCAACCACAATGAAATCCAGTTGGGGACAGGCAGTGCTGATGGCCACATCATACTGCTCTGCAATAGAACCCAAATCCCCCAATCTGCCCACAACTCCAGACAGGTGTCCCAGCTCCTTCTCTTTCAGGAGGGCAGTCAGTTGCTTCCCTCTGCTTTGCTTCTCTCGCAAGGAGCTGCGAGCTGTTTCTAGATCCTGTCTTACTGCTTGCAGCTAAAGACACCAGTCCAACCATCACTGACGCAAAGGACATAATTATACGAAGCTGTCATTTAAAGCGAAGTTAAATGACAGGCATAAAAAAAAAGATTTCTCAAACAAACAGCCAACTGACAGTTGGAAAAGAGACAAAGAACGCAAGTAAACAGAAAAAGTGCAAACTTCTTTTCCGAGCGAATCTCAACTCGAATTTCAAAGAAAAAATAGATGAACTTCAAGCTCTTTGAATTTCGAAGAACAATTTATGATTGACTTTTTTGATAAAATTAGGCTAACTTGAAAAAACTGGATCATAAGGTAAATTTTTTATTTCGCTCTGAAAACTAAAAACGCTAGCCAAAGGAAATCTAAAAATGCCATTCGTTTTCGGCCGACGAACGCTTAAGGCGACAATATATACTTATTTTGAATGGGAGTGCGGGTCGAAAAAACGCAGTTTTGTGGTCAAAATTGCCTAAAATGGCATTTTCACCTGCTTTTTCAAAACTTGGCCTGCGTCGCAAAATTTTTAGAAATCAAACTAGGGTCTTTATAGTGTTCTGGGAGCGCTCGGAAAATCAATTTGGCCGACCTAAAAAAGTCGCCATAACTTTCGAAAAAACTTAAATTTTTGGAAAACCCGCCCCCTCGAGAGAGTTCTAGATTATCTGAAAAGACAATCTGAAAAAAAGACCAAACTAACAGCCCGAACAACGTTCATCGACTCATTATAAATCAAAACTCAATGAGACACCTGCTTACCTGGCTCTCCAACGTCTTCTCATCTTGAATCAGCTTCGGTAGTTTTTGTCGGCAGATTTCGACATTTTCAGACAGTGTTTCTACATCTTCAGGAAGAGTCGCTAACTCCCTAAAAGCGAAATAAAACCAATCTACAAAACGTATTTAATACCAATTACTTGCGGTTTTACACGGCTGCTAAAATTTACTTAATTGAAAACTCGCAAAAAGACTCAAGACATCAACTGAATACTTATAAAATGACCCATAGCCTAGTCGTAATTCGAAGCTGAAGAACCGCAATTGGTTCAAGAAACTTCAAGAACAGAAAAGGAATCATTACATCTATCAAGGATATTGCAGCCACAAACGGTTGATTAATCGGGAGTAAAATAATGATATTTGAGTGATAGTTCCAGTAGTAATTCAGGTCAAATATATATGGTGAATCACCCGCACGAAATTGCTCGAACCAATGACTGAAGGCCATGTTTCACCAGCTAATTTTTAACAAAAATCGCGAAATGATCTTTCAGTTTGTACCAAATAAGAAAGATCAATTCCAGTTCAGCTAGGAAAAATCACTAACACCCTACCTTTCAAAATAGGTGGTTCCTAGTAGAATGTCTCGGAAAAATGCAGTTTTGCATTTTCCCAAGTTTGTTGTCAAAGCGTCTGTATGCATGTTTGTTGATGGTAAAAAGGTTAGTGTCACCTTCTTTTGTTCAACTAACTATCGAAAAAGTGTAGTTTCATGGCAAAACAGTTCGTCTTTCCGTGGTTCATTGAATGTTTTCTAAAGGCAAAAGAAGCTTGGTTGTCAACGAACACTTCCAAAGGCCTATTAGATATTATGCCTAATTCGCTAAGTATGCCCAGAAAAAGAACTCGCACTTTTACTGTTTCGGCCAGAGCATTGTGTTCTGCTTCGTCTGTTGAAGTTGATACACAACGCTGAAGTCTGCTAGACAAATTTTTTACGCCTGATTTGTCACTGAGCTGAAACAATATCTTGACGTAGTTCTTCCATTGACTATATATCCAGCCTAGTCCGCATCCGAGTAAAAAGCAAATTTCAAGACTTTGTACCTCCTATAGACTGAAGACAAACCTTTTGTTCTTAGCAGGCAACTTTTGCCAGCTTTCTAATGCTTTTCACCTGGGTTTCGCACAAAGAACTTGAAAGTTTTGCTGCAAGGCAAATGTCGGGCCTACTTGACAAAGCCAAGTGCTTTAGTCAACTAACAAGTCCTCGACAATTACAATTTTTCATATTTCCTTGTTCTCCTGACCTATCGTGATTTCGTTTTCTCAAATAATCAATATTCAATCCTAACAACCATTTAAGATCACTTATCTCACCTGTCTCAAATTTTTCAGATATTTTGTGTTAAAACCAGCTACAGAAACTTTTTCTTGCTCCACAAGCTACCAAATCATCTACCCACAAACAAAATAAACCTTCTATTTTTCCTTCACTCCTCTTAACGAACAAACACTCGAAAACGACTGAACTTTCAAATTCTATTTCCTCAAGCAATCCTTTTAGAGTCCTATGCCAGTCTCTACCGGACCGCCTTAGCCCATAAACACTTTGCTTCAGAAGGCAAACTAATGTTTTCCATCTTCGTCAAACTGCTCGAGGCCTTCAGGTTTCTCCATGAAGATATCTTCATCTGGTTTTGCATTTAAGTATGCAGTTTTCATGTCCAACTGTCTCAACTCTTACTTATTTTGAACTGCTAAGCTTATAACTATTCTGATAGTCGACATCATAGAAGTAAGTGAATAAAATTCACGGAAATCCCTCAATTTGGGTAATGTCTTCAGCGACCAATCTAGCTTTAAACCTAAAGAGCAAATGCCGTCTGCTGCCTATATGTTTCTCTCCCATTCGTAACTAGTTCCCGAACTTCTCTATTCATTCAAACTCGTTTTTCATTGCTTCTCGCCAGTCAGTGTCTGCTAAAGCTTCCTTAGCATTTCTTGGTACTACATCGCCTATTGCTTCTTCAACAACTGCATCACTTACAGCTAATTCTAAACCACTTATTGGTTCTTTTTCGCCACTTTCTAGCTTTTTATCAAAATAGAACTTAGATTCGTCAACACTAACGTTGAGCATAAGGCCAGTGATTTTTTGAAAAATTGGTATCAAAAATCAAGCAGCAAGCCATTAGAGTAATCGTTCCCCACACTCTTTCTATCTTTCCGCTCCTTGAGGGGTATAAAGAGCCGACGTTTCCAATCTTTATTTCTGTTTCCTACAAACTCGCCTAAATTCTTGACCACTATACTCTCCTCCGCCATCTGAAACTAAAATCTGTGGAACTTCTATATCTGCTATAAATTTGTCCAGATTTTCTGCTGCCTCATCTCTCGTCTTCGTGAAGTAAACTTAAAGTAATCTAGAAAAATTGTCTACAAAACTAATAGCATATCTATGTCCATCCACTGCCGTCGGGTCAAAGGTACCAGAAATATCTTTGTGAACAATATCGAGTGTACTGGTTGCCCTCGTGTAAGAGTCTTTTGCAACTGGCTTCTTTATTGCTTTATTCAACTCACAAGTTTCACTTTATTCAACTCACAAGTTTCACTTTATTCAACTCACAAGTTTCACTTCATTCAACTCACAAGTTTCACTTTATTCAACTCACAAGTTTCACTTTATTCAAATCACACTCCATTTTAAAATCACTTTTCTCCAGGCCTTCAGCATGTTGCTTTAAATGACTTAAGTCATTGTAGTGAATATGACCCATCCTGCAATGCCACTGTTTCAATGTGCTAACTACATAAGACGTCTTTTCCTAAAAATGTGATCGACAAAAGAGACCACTTTCCTCTCTTATTGGGTAAACTGGACCATTTCCTTGACGAACAAACGAATTCGCACCAAAACGGACTTTTGATACTATTATCAAATTTCATGTCTTTTTGAGAACGTAGAAAGTATCCTTCAGCTCTATAATTTTAAGTTCACCTTTCTCGTCTTAAACTCTGAGCCTAACTTCAACCTTCCCAAAACTTTGTGGTTCAGAGCAATTTGCATTGCTAACCGATCCACTGAAATTCTCATCTAGCCTAACAAACATCTCTCGATCCTTATTCATATTACTGGTGGCTCCAGAGTCTACGACTATAAGACGATAGCACTGAATTTATACGATAGCACTGAATAATACGATAGCACTGAATTTTTCGAGCGTTGTCTTCACTATCTCGTCTTCTGCTTAAGTATTCTCTGCACTGTTTTGACACATGTCCTCTCTTGTGATAATTAAAACAAATCAGTTTTCTTTATTAAAAGCATGCTCTTTTTCAATGACTTGTCTCTCGCTATCAAAATTCAAATTTCTTTTCAACTCATCTAAATTTTTTCTCATATCTACTAAACTTTGCTATAGTAGAAAAGGTTTCAAACTGTTTTAGGAGCCCTTTCAAAATGAATGAAATTAACATTTTTTCACTAGATCTTTCGTTCACTTGTTCTAAGTTCTACTGAATCTCCTCTGCTCGAGTCAATTAATCTATCACTACTTCATTGCTCTTCTTTTTCAAAGTTGTAAGTTCGGAAATTAGTTTTGTCAGTCTGAGTCTCGCAAAACTCTTAGAGCTCTTCCATAAAACATCCCAAGCTTTGCTACCATTGTCTTTGTAAGGTCTTCCAAACAAAACAAATTTCTAATCTAGAGCCTACACGAGTTCGTACCAGATGTGCAACGGTTTTTCCTCAAAAATCTCTTCTCCTTTATTTATTACAGCTTGTTTTTGATCGCTGCTTGCATTCGGTCTTAATCTTGGCATAAAATTTCTATAATAAACTGTCTCATTTAAGATCTTATTTAATTTCAGATGAAAAATGCATGTCTCGAACTGCTCTTCAGAGTAGGAAAAAAACCTTTTCCCGAAAAAAATTATCCTATCAATTTTTGACAACTTTTTCCTAATCAAAGTTCCTATTTCTTACTAAGGTCGTACACAAAGGTTAAGCTCTTATCAAAATTCAATAAACTAAATAATGCTCAAGGTAAAATACAAGGACCCCGTTTTCTCTTACATCAAAATCATGTTATAATCAACAATATCGCCCGCAAATATAATTAACTTTAACGAAATTTATTAGTAATTTGTCAGTTTGATCCAATTTTTATTTCACTACCAATTTCTGCGTTGTGCTTCTTTCAGCGATGTGCTCACTCAATGCCCCTTCGTGCTGCTTTTGACTCTATTCTTTCAATACTTAGTGGTTGATGATTCTACTCAAAGCCCTTATCTTCGTCTCAGTTGTGTTGCCCTGCTTCTTCGAGCCATTCTTTGCGGTTGATGATTACCCTCAAAGCTCTGTCTTTGCTTCTAGTTGTGTCGCCCTGCATCTATCTTCTCACAGTTCTCTATCTGATCAGCTGTATATATCAAGTTGTTTCATATTTCTGTCACAACTACGCAGCAAATCTCAAACTGTTCGTTTGAATAAACAGTCAATCTTGACTCCTGACTTCTCACCCTTATTTGGGCACTGTGCCCATAACCTATCAAGTTTATTGCAGCGACAAACGATTGATTGACAAGGAGTGAATTAATGATATTTGAGTGATAATTCCAGAAGTATTTCAGATCAAATATTTATGGTGAATCAGCCGCACAAAGTTGTTCGAACCAATGACTAAAGATCATGTTTCACCAGCTAAATTTATCAAAAATCGGGAACTGATCTTTCAGTTTGAACCGAATAAGAAAGATCAACTCCAATTCAGTTAGGAAAGATCACCAATAACATCACCCAAATCACAATAATTACTTTCAGTATCAACTTTTTACGAGCTCTTCAATCACCAAATCGGCAATTTAGTGAGCACAGTGGATGTTTCATCCTTTCAAAAGACTAAGGCATATAAAATATAAACGAAAAAAGTGACTGGCATGAAATAAAAGTGGACACGAACTGAGTCTTGTCGTGGAGATCCTGCTGCAGCTTCTCGGCCGCCGTCGTGGCCTGTTGCCACTGTTTGTGCAATCTGTTTCTGGTCTTGTTCAACATGTCCAGATCCGCCTGTGCTCTGTCTACTTCACTCTTGCACTTGTTTGTAGTCTGGAGAAAAAAAAGATTGCTTCTCTGATGCTTTGTTGCCATGACATCTCTCATCTCTATCACTATTTTTGCGTTACACTCTTACAGTAGGAAATTTCCAAATTCATTATACGCAATACTTGGTAAACATGTTTGTGGTTGAATATTATACTGTTCGTTGAAATGGTTGAAATGCAGATGGAATACAATGGAATACATGGTTGAAATGCAGGTATTCGGCACTTATCACAATTTTGCGCTAAGCGTTCTCTAGGCCAGCAAACGATTGAGAGATGACTGCATTGCGGCTACAGAAAATGAGGTTGAATGAGCAGTGGAGGTTGTAGAACTAGGAGTGGGTTTGTTTTGTCCTATTTGACTGACCTCGTTTTTAGAGATGAGTAGTTTGCTCTTGGTCTGCTTCTCCTGCTGCAGACTCCTGGTGTCTATGGACTCCACAGCAGCCGAGTACTCCTCGTCCAACTCCTTCTTCGTCCCCTCCACACTCTCCAGCTCCTCCTCAAGCCTCTCCATCTCTTCTCTCTTCTCACTCACACTCTTCAGCGCGTCCTCAATCTGGGGGAAAAAAGAGACAAACAGAAAGTAATTAACTATCAGACTTATTAAATACAATTAATTACATTCAAGTCAGCAGCTCCTTCTCAAGTCCAAAAAAACGGCTTTACTACTTTTCTAAATTTACTTTTCATGTATTTTCAAGCTAAAATATCAGACACCAGATTCGATTTGTCTGACTCCAGCAAAGCAAATCAAGAAAAAAACGTAGGATTTTTAAATAGTTTGCCTCAATTCAAGTGCAATAGATTTTCGAGTCGGAGTAAATCGCCGCCTATGATACGCTTTGACTGATCCTCGATGTCATCGATTGTAATTATTATGTGCCTGTAGAGTAAAAATGTACTCTTAATTTGGCACAATCGTTTGCTTGTCTGTTCAGATTTATTGCTTTCAACATAAAACGATGATTTAGATAACTTTGAAAAACTCGGCTACGTGCATAAAATGTACACGAAAACCAACTTTCGAGTATAAAAAGTGGTTTAACAAAACTCGGTCATCATAACGCATAGTGAAAATGAGGCAGTAGCAGCAGCAGACCTTTACCTTTTTGCCCAGTGTCTCCGTTTCCTTATTCAGCTTGGGTATGCCCTCCCTGGCGTTCTTGACATCTGCCCTGTGCTTCACATCCTGCTGGTCCACCTCAGCAAACTGTCTCTGCAGCTGCTCTGCCTTCTCATTCGCACCTCTCAGCTCCCTAAAACACATTCGATACACTTACCAGTCATAACAGTGAGCGTATCAATATTACATTAGGCTTGATATGTGTACTAACCTAACCTTAAGTACGAAATTGCAAGACTAGTTTGAAGTTGGACAAAAAAACAATAAAAGGGTTTCTAAGTTGAGGATTATTGGTCACTTAAGGCACTTTCATACACTTTCAAATGACCTTAAAGGGAAAATGTAATTTTTTTTTTTTAAATTATGTCCAGTTCCTGAGAAGTGCCGCGGTATTAATCAGAATCCTAAACCAGATCAATTTGATTTTAATGATCAATTAAACAAGTATTTCATAATTATCGGTTAAAAATTGGGCATTCAGCGAGATATCACGCGATCATGTCTGAAAAAATTGACCATTTTTACTCTTACAAAACCAGATCAATACCATTTCTAAATTGGTAGTCTAGAAAAAAATCTTCTAGGTAAACAAACCTTGTTTAAAATATAGATAAAATCTGATGAGAGAAATCACTTATTAAAAAAACTCAGGAATAATTTCTGTTATATTCTGATCATGATTAACACAGAGGCGAAGCGGAGCTTCGCACTACTTGCGATACAACACAATCATAAAAAAGCATGTCCAAAAACCTGAAAAAAAAGTTGACACAGAGGCGCACCACTTGCGATATAACAATATAGGATTAAAACAGAGGCGATGCTTCGCTTCGCAAATATTAGCGAGAACACGAAAAAAAGTAGCTCTATAAGCAAAAAGAAAAAGAGGAAATAAGCCTAGAATTAGTAAAAATTCGGCCACGTCTCGGATTTAATCTGCGACCTAGATAATATGAGTCTCACGCCTTAACAACTCAGCGATGGGCGCTTAATAAGTCGCAAATGCTAGCCACAAATGAAGCAGAGAACAGATGCTATGAAATTTTTAATTCTACAGATCGTTTTTTTTAGGCAGAAGTGCCACCAAATAAGTGAGCACTTTTAATGAATATTTTTATTTGCGAGTTAGCTTAGACAAAAAAGAATTTTCGTGCTAATAAACTAACGCTTGCAAGCTCGCTGAGGTAATCAGACAAGGAATAGAGGTTAGGCATATTCGACAGTCATAGCACATATAAAAACTCAATATCATTCAATAAAATTGCAAAAGATTTAATGATTTCAATTATGCAGAAATACGTTAGTGTAATTTTCACTGCATAAATAAGTCTACTAGCTCGTTTTCTCGCTCAAAATTAGACAAAAAAATCTGAAATTTCAAACCGCTTCTTCTCAACACTGGGAAACTTGAGCAAATTTTTTTTAATGTCCTTAGAAATCACAACCTAAAGGTTTTTAACAAGATAAATCATTCAACCTAGTCGGATCATTAATTGCGGTACCTGATTTACCGGAAAAAAAACAAAGCCAACAAACAATTGGAGAAGAGTCAATGAACGTAATTAAACAGAAAAAAAACTACTGATATGTTTTTGAACTTCTAGAATAATTTATGTCTAGCTTTTTTTTCGACAAAATGCATCACATTAGAGAAAACTGAATCAAGGGGTAAATTTAAAAACAAAGATACAAACTGAACTTTAAAAGAAATCAAAAGTCGAACCTCGAAAGTAAATTTGAGCTTGGACAAAGTTTAAAACATTTCGTTCATCGACTCTTAAAAAACTGAAACACGCCCGAATTCAAAGTTCCTCTTCTTGTTTCAAATGGTTGGAACAACGAAGTCAAACAACAAAAAAAAAACAAATTCTCTGAAAAGTGAAAACAAAGAAATTGTTATGACACCAATAGGTCTCTTCGCTATGTTCGTTGACACTTAAAACATTTGTGAATCCCATTTGACAGTTTTACTAATAGATAAACTTTCGTTCTGTTCCTTTCATAACACCACTCACAAAAAACCAATTGAAAAGAAAATATTTCAAAAATATTGAACTTTTTAAAGACATCCAAGTGGCGTTCAATTTGATCATTCAAAAACTTAAAAAATATTATTTAAATAAGCAGACAGAATTAAAGCCAACAGCCAATTGGCTGAAATTCAATCATAATTGTTCGGCAAAATCTTATTGGAAAAAATACAATTACAGCCCAAATGGTATCCACAAACCATACCTGAACTGAAATCAAGGTATTACACACAATTCGCAGACTAAACCGAGAGCTTAAAAGCCGAGAAATCATAGTATCGATGTTATAGAGCAACATTTGTTTTATCACTATACAAACAACTACTAGATCTATCAAAATGAATGAAAAAGGTTTTTAAAAAAACGAGCACAGACAGCAGAAGGTAAAAAACTTAACAAGAGGTAACAAAACAGAAAACACAAGACAGAAACCATTCATTCAGAAAAATATTTTTGAAAATCTAAATGAACTTTAGTATGTTGAGTCTCCATTACCCTATAAGACGCGACTAAGTCAATTAAAAAAAGACGAAACCAATGAAGCCGGAAAAAGACAAAAAAACTGAAAAACAAAAATAAAACGAAACCTTAACAAATCAAGTTGGTAAAATAACAATCAATAGGAAAATTTCGATTCGACCAGATTCAAAATGCTTAAACACTTTCAAAAAACAAAAGTGAAAACTGTTAACAGAAAAAATAAACGATTCTGAGATCTGGTAACTAAGCCGAAAAACAATAGCAGATAAATGGTAGGCCGAAAATTGTTTCAACTGGAACATTTACCATTTGAAAAAAGATCCTGGTCAGATTCGAACCTTGAAAATTTGCCGACCCAGGCTTAGTCGCTACCTCCGGGCTAAGTGAGCAGGAGACAGTAAGAAACTTGAATTCATTTTGAACAAGTATACAACCAGGAGCCAATGAGTCCTATGAACAAAGGTGTTCAAGGGATAAAAGTGTAGTACCCGATTGCAATACCCTTGCTTATCGCAAAGGTAATAAAAACTAGGTGAAACGAAAAATTTTGCATCTCTCGATGAAGAAATCACAAAAGTGGTGGATCACAAAAAAAATGTTAAAAAGACCAGTAAAAAAAAACGAAACGAAATCGAATTTTCAGCCTGACAAAACCACACACCTGAATCTTGTGCTAAACTTGCCACATATCTTCGTAGACAAAACAGTCAAGTCAAAATTGCAATTTAAACATTGTCGAAACTTATGGATTTTGTTTCGAAATATTTTTCATATATTGAAACAATACGCTATGCCATCAACCCCCATATTTCCCCATAGACCTTTTCAAAGGCTGTAGACATAGGGGAAAGCAAAACAGACCAGATGAGTCTGTGGTCAAGCAATAATGCAGGCGATCTTTCATTCTATAACCTTTTTTTGAAAATCCGTAGAAGGGTTTTTGCAAAAAACGAAAAATTTTACAAAATAAAAATTTTTTCAAAGCGACTCAAAAAAAATGAAATTGAAAACTCAATCCTTAAAGCTTTCATAATACCTGTTTTTATCAGACAGGAAATCTTGAAAAAAGTGCCAAGCAGCACATTTGAAATTCAATTAAGGACAAAACGTACGAAGCGGAAACAATGCCAACAATCTTAGAGCAGACACCAGTTGAGCCGAAATAAAAAAATATTATGTGAAATCTTTTTTCAAGTTTCAAGTCCCCCCTGAAACTACCCTGTAGTAATTAGTAGCCAGCCGTTATTAGTAATTCAATTCGAATTTTCACGAAAATGAGCATGTCAGGTGAAGGGCCTTGAGCATGCCAAGCGATTCAACTCATTTTGTTAAATTAGTTGATAGCTAAAAAAAGTCTATGTTCCGATTTGATAACGCTTGCTAATCGCAAGCTTAAACATAAATTCCACCTTCGAAATTAGAAGTCGATCACGTAGTTCGTGACTTTTCCTGTTCAATAGTGGAGTTTGCCTTCCTTTTAACAAAGGAAATGAAGTGAATTTAAAAAGAAATCAAAAGTCAACCGTGAAAATGTAAATTTGAGCCTGAACAAATTTTAAGACTTTTACTGAAAAGAAAACAACGAAAAATCATCGCGACCTTTGTAACAGTCTGAGTAAGTTCATCGACTCTCAGAAAGTAATTCTCGATGACTTCAAAGCCCACCTTTTTCTGCTTGATTTTCCGATCATAGGTAGTTAGAACAAACGGCAATTCATACCAACATTTTTATGAGACCTTGCTTCTGAACATTTTAAAATTAGAAATCAGTTTTCTTTCTTTAGTTGCAATTGCGAATAGAATACATTACATATACCTGCACTTTTCCTCTTTGGATTTTTTGATATTCATGATTTGGTTTTCCACGTCTCGTTGAGATGCCTGTTTCACGTCTAACACGCCCTTCAATTCGTTAAAATTGGTCTCCAACCTAGTTTTGCTAGCTGACACCTCTGACCTTTAAAAACATAACAAAAATCATCAATAAAAACAGCCTGTTGCTGTGCAAGCTACACAGTAAAATCCGATCATAAATACAGTGCTGATTTAAATTATCCGGACAAATCGAACAAAACTTGAATTTTCAAACGCATTTTTCTCAAATTGGGTTAAGATTAGACAAAAAAGGAAAGAGAACAAAAGTTGCTTAGAATTTCACCAGAATTAATATGGTGCCAATTTTTCTCCGAAATTCTCAACAAAAACTTTATCCCAAAAATGGGTCATTTTGGCTTTTTTCAATTAATCAAGAATTACGCAGAAACTATTTTGTTAATTGATAAGAAAATTATATCACAGGAAGCCTCTTATGCTGCTCAACAAAGTTTAAAAAGGGTTAAATCTCCAAAAACCAGTATAAGAGAAAAAAATTTCACTTGATAGTCAATAAATGTGATTTTTACTATATAAAACCCAGAATCTCTGTTTAAAAATTTATTTTAAACAATTTGCGCAAATTTTTGGAGATTTAACCCTTCTTAAACTTTGTTGAGCAGCATAAGAGGCTTCCTGTGATATAATTTTCTTATCAATTAACAAAATAGTTTCCGCGTAATTCTTGATTAATTGAAAAAAGCCAAAATGACCCATTTTTGGGGTAAAGTTTTTGTTGAAAATTTCGGAGAAAAAATTGCACTATATTAATTCTGGTGAAATTCTAAGCAACTTTTGTTCTCTATACTTTTATCTAATCTTAACCCAATTTGACAAAAACGCGTTTAAAAATTCAAGTTTTGTTCGTTTTGTCCGGATAATTTAAATCAGCACTGTATAGCCAACAGTGTCATGAAGTAAACTGAAAAAAATTAGACATTTTTTACATAACTTAGGATCTTCAAAAAAATACATAACATCACGTTAAGGCTCTTCCAAATAATGATCTCCTTTCGGAATTGGAGAGCGTTATTTGCCTTAGCATGTTATTTTGAACTGAACGTTTATTTGTATGTGTTTTGGTAATCAATCAGATCGCAAAAGACTTGTTGTTGTTCTGAACATTCTAACGATTTCAAAGTAAGCATAATCGTGATCCGGTTGGAAAAATTTCAAATTCCAAACAACGAATCGGTTCGCGGAAATGTGAAGCTTTTCTAACAAGTTATTTAAGCTATGAAATATGAAATATTTCATGAAGCAATTTGCATGGCAAAAAAAATTAATGTTTTTCTACTGAAACCATTCAAGAGTTGAAAGTTTGATATGTGAAGCTAATTCAAATTAAATCGATTAGCGGAAAATTAAGTACTTTCTAAGCAAACTATTCAAGCTATCTAACTAAGAAATATTTCAAGTTATTTCACGAAGGTAAATTAAACTTTTCTGTTCTATGGGAGTCATTCAAGCAATAACACTGAAATATTTCTAGTTATTTTGGAGAGAGAACTGATTCGCAAAAAAATCAAAATCGAAAAGTTTTTCTATGCGAGCTGTAAATCAAATACTTAGAAACATTTCCTACAGCAAATCAGTCTGCAAAAAAATCAGGCAGGATTTTTTTAGCAAACTATTCAAGCTATGAAATATTTCCAGTTATATTATAGACCAAAGCTGCTCGCAAATAAATCATTCTTCTAAACAAGCTATTCAACCTGTGAAACATTGGAAGTATTCGAAGCGGTTCGTAAAAAGTTTTTTCAAGCAAGCTATTTTAGCTGACACTTTGAAAAGTTATTTCATACACTGATTTGGTTCGCGAGAAGATTAAAATCTTTTAAACCAGCTGTTTAACCGAAGAAACATGTCAAGTTATTTCATATGCTGAATCGGCTGACTAAACAATAAGGCTTTGTAGGCAAGCTATTCAAGTAAGGAGAATTAAAAAGGTTCCAAGCTATTTCGTAGAATTAATCACTTCGCGGAAACTTAAAATCTTTCAAGCAAGCTATTCCAGGTATAAAACTTTGAAATACTTCAATTTATTTCGTAGACCGACTCGGTTTGCTCAAAGTTAGTTTTTTTAAGCAAGTAGGTTGCTGTTTTTTGTTGATTCATTTCAGACTGAATCTGTAATCGCAAAGCTTTGGACTAAAAGGAGGCAGAAGCTCAATGGAGTTCATATTCTTTAGAGTTTAACACAGAGGCCAAGTTACACTTCACATACACAAGCAAAAATATGACCGATAACGCTACTGGGAGAAACTGAATGAGTAAACATTTGAGTCTACAAAACTTCTTCAGTGACGCACGCCAATTAGGACGCATTAGCAGTAACAATCAATTTGAAAAAAAAAATTACCAACAAACATGCCTCAATTTATCGAGCAGTCTCTGGAGCAGTAATAACTTGAAAAAATCGAATGTAAAGATAATAAAATGAAACTAGCGTTTAACGCACCTCCGGTGCTTCGAATTTTTCGACAACTCATGAAAAACCGCATATATTGGAAACAATATCTACTTTTAGTGTACTCTGACTGCACCCAATTACAGGGTTGGTAATTTCGAACTTTTTAAATTTTTTTAAATTCCCATTTTAAAAGCGTCATCTCGAAAATTTAATGGAGCTCTGGAGAAATTTGGAGGTCAGATTTGCAAGCACTGAGAGTCCCTGAGAGTACCCTACTATAGGGTTAGTAATTCAAAATTTTGTGAATTTTTTTAAACCTGTTTCCCGAAAAAAAAAAATTGAAAAAAAAAACGTCTTATCTCGGAAACTAAAAAGATTTGAGCATTCACATTGAGAGGCAAGATTTGAGACGCCAGGGTGGACGCTGACAATAAGGTTGTATCTTCATCGAGCTGGTTAAACATTATTTTTTGAACTTCTTTATAGATAAGTTCTTTGAGAAATTTTGAAATCAAAAACGTCGAATCTCGGAAACTAAAAGCATTTGAGCAGTCGCATGAGGTAAGATTTGCAACTCTTTAGAGTAACCTGACAACACCAAACTATAGCGTTGGGAATTTCAAATTTTGAAAAATAATTAATTTAAACTTTCTGAAAATTTTGAAAAAATCACAAAAACGTCACATCTCGAAAACTACAGAACTGAGCAGTCACATTTGGAGGCAAGATTCGCAATCCTTGAGAGTGCTCTGACAAGACCCAACTACAGGGTTAAGAATTTCAGATTTTGCGAAAAAAAATAATATAATTTTCTGAAAAATTTATTTGAGAAAAAATCACAAAAAACGTCATATCTCGAACTACAAGGATTTGAACAGTCATATTTGAAGGCAAGATTTGTAACTTCTTAGAGTATTCTGACAGCACCCAACTACAAGGTTGGGAATTTCAAATTTTGAGAAAAACTCAATTAAAACTTTCTGAAAATTTTGAAAAAATCACAAAAAACGTCAATTTGTGAATTATCTCGGAAACAAATTCGCAACCCCATCTCGAAAACTACGAAAAATTGAGCAGTCATATTTGGACGCAAAATTCGCAATCTTTGAGAGTACTCTGAAAGGATCCAACTTTAGGGTTGGGAATTTCAGATTTTTTAAATTATTTTGTTATTTGAAATTTATGAAAACTTGAAAAAATCTCAAAAATCGTCTTATCTCGTTAAGTAAAATGATTGGGGCATTCAAAATTGGAGGCCAAATTCGCAACCCCTAATTCGATATTGGTCTGCTTAATTTAAACTCGGTAAACTAACCAGTAAAATCAAATTAGAAAATGGAAAAAAAATTCTTAAGCATTGCAATATACGATATAGCTTAAACATGCAAAAATAATACGTTGAAAAAGCTTAAACATGGCGAGATAGTGAAGCCCGCATTTAAATATATAATAGATTTTTTTTATTTACGATTTTCTGTAAAAATCATCACCCCACACGCCGTATTGAGTACAAATTGGTACATTTCGCTCCTAGTAACAAATCAATTATGGCATATACGCTTCCTTCAATCAACTTGAAACGATTTCCATGACGGATTAAATCTCCGCTTACGCGTTAATAGCGCGAAATACATCGCGCGTTAACTGTCCCAAATTGGCCAAAATGGCAATTTTTTAACTCCCACAACTGTACGAAAAATGATCACAGGTGAAATATCTTTCCAAATTTTAGCTCAGGACAACAACGCTTTTTGAATGATATAAAAATCACGACAAAAATGGCTAGTTAAAAAGTCGAAATTTCTGAAAAAAAACACTCCAAGCACAAATATTCCCTTAATTTCGTTACGAAAGTCGTGAAAACAACAGTCTGTGTTAAAAGCCTTAGCATTGTAATTACTTAATAGCTGGTTATTGATCAAAATGAACACTTTCAAAATGAACAATTTTATCGCAACAATATTTGCGACGAATGTTGGAAGAAAAGATAGTTCATACTACAACACAATCATTGCTTGTGTAAACAGCGTTCAAGAAGGCTTGGATCAGAATTTTAAGGAATCATTTAGAGCAAAGAACGAGTTTATTGTTTAAGAGGCGTTTAGGCAAGAATTTTCTTTAACAATAAACTCGTTGTTTGCTTTAAATGATTCTTAAAAGTTCTGATCTAAGCCTTCTTGAACGTTGTGCTCATTAGAAAAACTAAAAGGTTGCGTCCATATCGCATGAAGACTTTCATTTAATATATGATATTTTTTATTTGAATTGAATGTTTCGCCTGCAAAATCGCGTTTTCATCTGGCTGCGTTCCTATTAACTTTTTGAAAGTAATTTTTAGCGCTAATGGGCCGAAAATGATTGTAATGATGTGGTAGGTAGTCCAAATTCTTACAGATTAAAATAGGAGAAAAGATGCTCCTACATGATACAGCAATAAGACTATTGTCGGCACCTGATTTTCCATAGAAAAAAAAACAATATAAGAACAACAACAAGTAAATAATTCTTTATGATCTAATAACAAACCAATGAGTAATTAAAATGGAAACTTACTTGTACTTTTGCATGATTTTGTTCTTGAGGGATGAAATACTGTTTTCGAGGTCCAGAAACGCCACTGCTTCCGCTTTCAGTTTCTCCAGACTATTTTTTTCACCTTCAACTAGAGCCACGCGTTTCATCTTAAACAACACATCCACTCAATAAGTTCGAGCGCAGATGAGAACACACACCATCCGTTTCAGAGTAGCGAACGATGATTAGAACCAATCCCTTCAGCACGCACTCCTTTCCTCCTTCACTTGTGCATTAAATCTCTTTTTAAACGATTAAATCGACTTTTAAACAGCAATAAATTCAGTTCGAGCAGATCCAAAACGTTCTCTATAGACTGTTCTTACTTATACTATTTCGCGAAAGAAATTTACGCCGCATGCAATCTTTCAAAAATGAGCCAGAAACCCAAACTAAAGTTCTTTGGACGGTTTTGACCAAAAAAAGTAGGTCGAAAGCTTTCCGTCAAAATTTGCTCCGAAGCGGCCTTCCGCTTTTCTTTCAAGCTGGCTAGCCCAAAAAAAATATAAAAAGGGGATAATCGAGAGGGGGAACTACCCCTCCTGTAAATCCCGCCCCGTATTTCATTAATAACTTTGCAACTATGGACACAGAGGCAAACCAGAGCTTCGCACCGTTGCGATACAATACAAGAATGCCGCAAAAAAGAAATCGAAATAAGAAAGACCGAAAATGTCATGAAAAACAAGATCTATCAAAACGAATACAGCTACTTTAGAAAAAAAACGTGCAAAAAGAACAATGTGAAATTAGCATCAGAAGAAAAGTATCAGTAACAAAGCCGAAAAAAAAACACCTGAGCAAAAAAAAACTTTAAATTTATTAAAAGTTTCAAAATCACCCTCCCCCTTGAAACACATTCAAAAACACCCAACAACACTCTCTCGCTTACCAAACGACGCAATATGAGGCCACTAAACTGATTAAAAGCCGAAAAAAAAATCGAAAATTGTCGAAAAAAATTGATTCACCAACACTTTCATATCGTTGTATTGATTCTGTCTCATACAAAACTCGTAAATGTTCAATTAGCATCAAATTAAATACAGAGGCGAAGTTGCACTTCGCATACACAAGCACGCAAAATTATGACCGATAACGCTACAGGGAAAAACTGAATGAGTAAAACTTTGAGTATACAAAATTTCATAAGTGGCGCACGCCAATTATGAGTCTACATAATTGCTAAGTGACGCAAGCCAATTATGACGCATTGACAGTACCAGTCAATTTGAAAAAAAAAAGAAAATTACCAAATAATATGCCTCAATTTATAGAGCGGACGCATTTTAACTACTAAACGAAAAAAGTTCATTATAAGCATCCCACAATGCCCAAGTTCGAACTTTCTTATTTTGCTGCTGGCCTGCTTCCCTACCTCTTCGCTACAGATCCATCATACCTTGAGGTTAAAGTGCTATTTGTAATATAACAGGGTTAAAATCGTTAGCATTGGCTGTACTTAATAGCTGGTGGATCAAAATGAGCACTTTCAAAATGAACACATTTTGTCGCAAAAATTGCATCGCAACTAAATTTGCGACTTAGGTTGAAAAAAGAAAGTTCAGACTATAACAAGCTATGCTTGAGTAAATAAACAAAGTAGTCACAAAGACGAAGATTCTTGAGTAGAGGTAATTTGAGATTAAAAATTTATGCGCTAACTTCTCAAAATGATGCCGCTAAGCCGATAAAACATAAGCCGAAACCTTTTAAGGTAAATAAAGAAAAAACGATAAACTGAAATCGGAGTACTTAAATTTACAAAACTCGAATAGAACGCGCATTTAACACAGAATACTCAAAAAAATTTCTGTTTATTGACAAATTAGTATTGAGGAAGACTTAAGTTTTGGTCATTCTGTGAACAAAGTTGTTTACCTGGAAAAAAAGTCTAGTACTTGGCTTCAAAACCCTTGTTTATGGCAAGGCTAAGAAGAATTTGTGAAAGCACTTTTGAAATTGCAACAAAATTGCCACCTGGTCTTTTCTCTTCTCTTCTAGCTCTCCGAGTTCAGAGTCTATCAGTGTGATGAGCTCCTTGTACTGGTAAGTGCCTATGATGTCCTCCAGATACTCCAGGAGTCCCTCGTCATGTTCACTCAACCCCTTCGGCTTCATCTGAGATATCTGCTCAACTTCACCCTTCAACAGTCATTGCAACACGTCACCCATATTTTACACACTCGAATGTCTAAAAGGCCAATAAATAGATTCTTAAGGCCCATTTACAAAACCTCCACAAAGGATAGACGAAGAAAAATTGGCTAAAACTTATCCTGTCTGAAGATGATGTGGCTGTTCGAAATTATGCGGATCATGGACATCATAAATTTCGGATTCTGATGTACATGCTAACTATTGCACTGACGAATTTCGATAATATAGCTGCAAGAAAAGAACTTTGCAGATGCAAGACGTATAAGGGACCAGGCTGGATGCAAGTGGTACAATCAGAATTCACCCATAGTATAATCCAATCCAATATCTGCTGAGTTTGACAGAACACAACACGCTTTAAGCAATTTATTGTGATGGCCAATTATTTGATTGAGTTGAAACAATTATAGTAACTGTTTCATTTCACGCGCAACAATCTCCTTTGAACAAAAAATCAGGACCCAAACAATGCAACTATGTTCAATAAAAAAGACTCTTAGAGCATTGAGACAACGCGGTTTCTAGACGGCATCTTTTGAGAAATTAGCCAACTTCGCGATCCATCCGATTGGCGAGCACCATGCTGCTTACTCAGCTGTGCTTATCTTTGGCACCAGCGGTGATGCACGCGTGATTTTCTGTAGGCGTTGCGTTGGCTGCGACTAAGTCTTTTGTTTAAGAATGCTCGGACTTGATTGGTCAGTTTTGGCATGGAGGCGAAGCAAAGATTGGCGCAAAGTTCAAAAAAAAACAAAAAGATCAGCACAAAACCAGTGTGACAGCTAGCCGAAAGAAGAAGACAAGTCAACCATTTACGCTTTCGTAATTGGAGAGCACAATTGCCTTCCTTCAGTAAATCACTCAAACACAACCTAAAAAATCAACACGGCTTACATAAATGTCTTCACTACGTTCATTGACAATGGTCATTTTGAGTACATAATCCGACAAAATTAAAGCCAATATCCAATAAATTCATAGTCTGCGTATATATTTCGGTAAGAAATTTACCATGTTTAGATTTCGCCATTCTGAAAGCAAATTTGTTTACGGGGAAAAAGTAAAGAGCCCGATTACAATACCGTTGCTATTTACAATTGTAATGATTGCAAAAAATACCTAAAAGGCAGTAAATCAACCAGATAAAGAAAACGGGACTTCTATTATGTTGCAAGAAGGCAGTTTGGCAATCTAATTTTGCGCGGGATGGGATTCTTTCTGACTTTTTGCATGCAAAAACGGATGCAAATACGAGGTTGCAACTACTGTGATGATGTTCGAAGAATGAAACAAACCTGGAGAATGAGGAACCGGTTATGGTCTAAATCAACCGCTTTGCTCTTCAGTAGATCCCGCACTTCCTTAAAATGACTTTTGCTTGCATTGATGTAATAGTTAGACGAGTTGTCGCGATAAGCTGTCCTTGAAATCACGAGCTCCGAGCCAGCAACAATTGTGAAATCATCTGGATCTGCACACTGAAATGTATGTACTAGGTATAACTGTCAAGTTTAAAAACCGCCTCAATTATAGCTGCATCCAATATCCCACCCCAATGTAAACTTACAGAGTCAATTATTTCCGCAAAATGCACAGCGACAGAGCATGATGGAATATTTTGACAGCTTTCATCTGAGTTGTGAATTAACATGGACAGTTTCTTCAACCTGATCTTGGCTGCTCTGAATCCAAATACAAATAGAAGCGCATCGATGACGTTGCTCTTCCCTGATCCATTTGGCCCCACAATACAGCAGAATTTCTAAACATACCAATTTTGTTTTGTTGATTAAAAACTATGTGACTGTTTATGAAGCCTTTTTATTTTTTGAAATTAGAAAGTACACCATTGAGAGCCATTTGTAGGAAATGTTTAGTAAACATCATATCTCAGAAATCTCGATATGAAAAATTTAAAAACCATCACAAGTGTGAAGACGTTGATTAAATAGTAAATTTTTTGAAAACACCTTGAAAATTTAGCTTGGATTAAGACTATCACGTTCTCACATCTGCTTCACGACCGCTTGAAATTTTACTAACACTAGCCATCAATCAAACAGCTACAGTTTCTATCGAATTGCCAATGTTGAGCAGCAAAAGTTCGACCAAAAAATTAAAACTATTTAAAGGTTCCGGACTTAATTACAGGAGAAAAATACCTTTCCCTCTTCTCAAATTTAGCTCGGTAGTTAACAAATAAAAGCAAAAAAAGGTTTCCTTTTCCTTAATCCATTAACTTTTCTCTACCAAAGCATTGGAACAGCTTCAGCTTTCCACAACCTGATTTTAAGACTGGGGATTTGCCCACCCCAATTTTTTATATTGAACCCTTCATATCAGATTTAGCTAATAGTTTTCGGGAATAGTGACGAAATTTCTTTAAAAAAAAAAAAACTGTTGTACATATCAGCTTTTCTACAAAACAATTTACGCAGGGAAAAATTAAGCACCATGCTTGTTTTAATGAGCTATCAACCTCACAATCAGCAAGTAAGTTTTTGAAAAAAAATAACTTTCCAAAAACGGACAAAATTTCAAAAATTGGACATTTTCTGAAGCTTCCGCAGGTAATTTTCACATAGCTGATTTTTTTCTTTCAGCTTAACCTCTTAAACAATTTGACAGGGTAGTTTTTGACGAGATATGTTGGTATATGTTGGAGCCAAACCGCCGGAGGAGGGAGGGTGAAAACTTTCATGTACTAAGATATGCTATAGCTTATCCGGTCTCCACCTTATGTATTAACTACCAAGAAGAATAGATTCCCCATGTATAAAGGGTATACGTTTCAGATGGTAAGTTTCGAGAGAAACATTGGTTTTCAAAAAAATGTTGGCAACTGATTTCGCCGATACATCAATGTTCAGATTCGAAACGTTTTCTCAATCAAACAACAAAAGATTGAAAACCCTAACGCAGCGTTTAAAAAGAATTGTTGAAAAAAAATGATGAAACACGTCGAAAAAGTATTACATTACGGCGTCGTATATAATTTCACTATATAATCTCTTCCAAATTCAGAGGTTTAGTTGTATTCCATCACTTCAACTTCCCGTTTAGGATAAAATAGCTCAGTCCTTTTTCACTTTGTTCATAAGTTGCAACTACATGGTTAATTGTTTCAATTGTTTCCTCGATTTAGCCATCGGTTCATCTCCAGATTCTTCTAATGCGCGTTTTTTCAATCCTTTACTGCTTAACTTATACTTTTGACTTTTACTATCGTAGCAGCATTTAGTTTTACTACAGAGGAACAACATATCGGTGCATTTGAACTCCTCCTTGAGCAATCCTGGTTCTCTCTAATCATGTTTCTTATGTTTAGAGCAGCAAGTACGGGGGAAAAAGTTAATATTCGCCTCTGCTCTGAAATCGTTTCGACAGTCTCTGCTTCGCTTTTCAACCCATTCAGCTCGCCAAAGCCAAATAGAGAAAATCAGTATCAATTTCGAGTTCTTCAAATTAGCTGACATCACGAAATTTATCGAAAAAATTATCAAACAGTTCCAACATTCTCAACTCCGCATACTGTAGTATAAAGAAACCTAATATAATTGGTTCACGATGTTTTATAGTAGACTTAACAAGTTCCACTTCAAACGAGTCTTCAGCAACAAAATTGAGTCATTTGAAAAACTGGTTGATAGCTTTATGGGTTTTTTCGTCACCAAGATAATTTGTCATTGTATGGTTTAATCTGTCCAATACTTGATAGCCATAGTAGCTAAATCCTAGCAGCTTAATTGTTTCGACTACCACATCATACAAAGGATTCTCATCGCCAGCTCGCCTAGCTTCAACAACAGACTGAACGAAACTTTTGAATAATTTACGCGGTGTGAATTGTACAAATAAAGTTAAGAACAGAATTTAGAAGTATTTTGTTGGTTTATTTGACGCTCGATTTCAACATTCACTGCGCTTGTAACAGATAGCTTTCTTCCGCATATGTCTTCATATATTCCCAAATATCGCACCATCAATATTTTTGAAAGTAAGTAGGAAATTGAACGTTTCGCTTTTAGTTCAACTGGAACACTCAGATCGCATTGAAAGTAACCGAACATTGTTTCAATTCCTATGTTTTTCAATAAAGAATAAGAAAAAAGAGGTCTTTGAAAAGAAAATTGATTCTAACGTGACTTTTCAAATCTACGTTGCTTTTAAATTGATCGCACCAACTCTCCCACTTATGTATAAAGGGTACAGGTTTCAGATGGTAAGTTTCGAGAAAAATATTGGTTTTCAAAAAACTTTGGCGCCCGATTTCGCGGATGCATCAATGTTTAAGATTCGAAAAATTTCTTGATCAAACAATAATAGATTGTTAACCCAAACTCAGCGTTTAAAAAGAATGGTTGAAAAAAATGATGAAATACATAGAAGTATTAAATTACGGAATCGTAAATAATTTTACTATATAATCTCTTACAAATTTAGAGGTTTAGTATGTATTACATCACTTCAACTTCCCGTTTAGAGTGAAAATAGCTCAGTCCTTTTTTGTTTGTTCATAAGTTGCAACTACATGGTTAATTGTTTCAATTGTTTCCCGATTTAGCCATCGGACCATCTCCAGAGTCTTCTAATGCGCGTTTGTTCAATCCTTTACAGCTTAACTTATACTTTTGACTTTAAGTATCGTAACAGCAAGAAGTTTTACTACAGAGACACAATATATCGGTGCATTTGAAAGTTTCCTTGAACAATCCTGGTTCTCTCTAGTCAGGTTTCTTATGATTAGAGTAGCAAGTACGGGGGAAAAAGTTATTATTCGCATCTGCTCTGAAGTCCTCTCGACAGTCCCTGCTTCACTTTTCAACCCATTCAGCTCGCTTGTTGGGAAGGAAAAAGGCATATAAAATTTCTTCTGCCACCGCCAAATAGAGAAAATAAGAAAATCAGTATCCATTTCGAGTTATTCAAATTTGCTGACATAACAAAATTTATCGAAAAAATTATAAAACAGTTCCAACATTCTCAACTCCGCATACTGTAGTATAAAAAACCTACTCTAATTGGTTCACAATGTTCTTTAGTAGATTTTACACGTTTCGCTTCAAACGAGTCTTTAGCTACAATATTGAATCACTTGAAAAACTGGTTCATAGCTTTATGGGTTTTTTCGTCACCAACATATTTTGTCATTGTATGTTTTGACCTGTCCGTTATTTGATAGCCATAGTAACAAATTCCTGGCAGCTTCATTGTTTAGGCTACCACGCCATAAAAAGGATTCTAATCGCCAGCTCGCCTACCATCAACAACAAACTGAACAAAATTTTTGAATAATTTACGCGGTGTGAATTGTACAAACCAAGTTGAGAAAAGAAGTTATAAGTATTCCGTTGGTTTATTTGAAGCTCAATATCACCATTCACTGCAGTTGTAACAGATCGCTTTCTTCCGCATATGTCTTCATATATTCCCAAATATCGCACCATCAATACTTTTGAAAATAGGTAGGAAATTGGACGATTTCGCTTTTAGTTCAACTGGAACACTCAGATCGTATTGCAAGTAACCGAACATTGTTTCAATTCTTATGTTTTGCAGTAGTGAATTAGAAAAAAAGGGGTCTTTTAAGGGAAAATTGATTCTAACGTGATTTTTCAAATCTACGTTGCTTTTAAAATGATCCGACCAACTACACTCCCTTTTTGGCAATACATACATGTTTGGGATTCCAAACGCTTTCTCAATCAAACAACAATTGATTGTTAACCCAAACGCAAAGTTTAAAAAGAATTGTTGAAAAAAAAATGATGAAATACATTTAAAAAAAGCATTAAATTACGGCATCTCTTTCAAATGCAGAGGTTTAGTATGTATTCCATGACTTCAACTTCCCGTTTAGGGTTAAAGTAGCTCGGTCCTTTTTTCAGTTTGTTCATAAGTTGCAACAACATGGTTATTTGTTTCAATTGTTTCCTCAATCAGTTGACTTCAAATTCACCGCCTCATCCAATACTTGTCGATACCTAGCCATCGGACCATGCCCATAGTCTTCTTATGCGCGTTTGTTCAATCCTTTACTGCTTAACTTCTACTTTTGACTTTTACTATCGTAACAGCAATAAGTTTTAATACAGAGGCACAACATATCGGTGCATTTGAACTTCTCTTTGAACAATCCTGGTTCTCTCTAGTCATGTTTCTTATGATTAGAGCAGCAAATACGGGGGGAAAAGTTGTTATTCGCGTCTGCTCTGAAATTGTCGACAGTCCCTGCTTCACTTTTCAACCCATTCAGCTCGCTTGTTGGGAAGGACACATGCATATAAAATTTCTTCTGCCAAAGCCAAACGGAGAAAATTAGTATCAATTTCGAGTTCTTCAAATTTGCTGATATCACAAAAATTAACGAAAAAATTACAAAACAGCTCCAACATCCTCAACTCCGCATACTGTAGTATAAACAATCCTACTATAATTAGTTCACGATGTTCTATAGTAGATTTAACAAGTTCCACTTCAAACGAGTCTTGAGCTACAATATTGAGTCACTTGAAAAACTGATTGATAGCTTTATGGGTTTTTTTTCGTCACCAAGATAATTTGTCATTGAATGTTTTAATCTGTCCGTTATTTGATAGCATAGTAACTTATTCCTGGTAGCTTAAATGTTTCGACTACTACACCATATAAAGGATTCTCATCGCCAGCTCGCCTAGCATCAACAACACACTTAAAGAAACTTTTGAATAATTTACGCGGTTTGAATTGTACAAATCAAGTTAAGAAAAGAAGTTGAAAGTT